TCAGCAACGGACAGTCGCTGTCAACCGCCGGAGTGCAATACATTGCCGCTGGAATTGCTGGAGCGGCCTTGGCTGTTACTGGACTGGCTTCGCTCGCCGGTGCTGGACACGCTGGTGCGGCACAGTCCAGTCCTACCTTTGGCGACGTTATCGGATGGTTCCAAGCCATGGCTTTGAACGGCATGATGAGCGCCGACGTTCCCGGTGTATACCGCAGCTGGTCCCAGAACTTTGCCTTCAGTACCGGTCTTATCTACTGGGAGGGCATGCAGCACTCCATCGACAACTTCCGTGCGAGCACTGGCGGCAATCTTACGCAGAGCAGCGTCGAATTCCTCAAGAACGCTACCCTCGTACACGTGGACCAGAACTCGACCTTGACCAAGCGCAGCTTCGACCTTTTGTTTTCTCGCGACGTTCTGTTTGCTCGCGACGAACTGAACACGGACATCAACGGTACTGCCGAGGAGGGTGGTGACAACAAGGTCATCGTCTACGCAAAGGACATGCAGGGCTTTATCCAAGAGTACACAATTCCTGACCGTAACGCCTTCATGACTGTTTTGCTCATCTTCGCCATTATCGTCGCCGCCATTACCGTTGGTATCCTTCTCCTGAAGGTCATCCTGGAAACCTGGGCCCTGTTCGGCAGCTTCCCGAAGCGCCTGACCAGCTTCCGTAAGCGATACTGGTGGACTCTGGCTAAGACTATCACCAACTTGATTCTTTTACTATACGGTATCTGGGTCCTCTACTGTGTCTACCAATTCAAGAACGGAGACTCATGGGCTGTCAAGACACTTGCTGGTGTAACCCTCGCGGCATTTACTGGAGTCCTGGCTTTCTTCACCTGGAAGATCTGGAGCACCGCCGACAAGTTCAAGAAGATGGAGGGCAAACCTGACGCTCTTTACGAGGACAAGGAGATCTGGCGCAAGTACAGCATGTTCTACGAGAACTACAAGAAGAGTTACTGGTGGATCTTCGTCCCCGCTATTGTCTTCCTGTTTGCTCGTGGTTGTGTTATCGCTGGAGCAGACGGCCACGGTCTCGCACAGGCTGCCGGTCAACTCATCGTTGAATCCCTTCTCCTTATCATGCTTCTCTGGGCCCGCCCATACACCCTCAAGTCCAGTACCTGGATCAACATTACCATCTCGGTCGTTCGTGTCTTGTCTGTTGTCTGCATCTTGGTCTTCGTCGAAGAATTGGGTATGAGCCAGACAACCAAGACCGTCACCGGTCTCGTGCTTGTTGTTGTGCAAGCTTCGCTCACTGGTGTTCTTGCTATTCTCATCGCCGTCAATGCCATCATCATCTGCTGCAAGGAGAACCCTCACCGCAAGAAGAGAAAGGCAGCTGGTAAGTTTAAACTTCCCCTTAGATCCCAACATTATCTAACAACCCCTCCAGAGAAAGCTCGCGATCTCGACAACCTTACCCCTCTCGATGCACGCAACTCGCTTCTCATGGACCCCCAAGAGTACAAGCGCACCTCGCTTCCTTCACCATTCGGTCCCCGCACCGCCGGCTACGACCGCGTTCCTCTCGCCGACCAAAACACTGCCTACAATGGTCCTGGTGGTCGCTCTTTCGGAGATGACCAAGGACACCTCCTTGCCGATGCTTCCACTTTCGGCCGCACAGCAACGCATGAGCGAAGCATAAGCCGCGACAGCAGTCCAGGACCCGACCCGGGAGCCGGCTACCACCAACCACCCGGCTACGTCTCCAACGCCCCGTGGCAACCTCAACAACCACGAGGTAACAATGGCGGCTACGCGTACTAGAGCCAACAAACTCTTGAAGTCTTCTAGGAGCGAAGACTTGGAGTGGTGAAATATCTCACCATCAGGCATTATCTCCTTTTGTTATATTCCCTATCTGTATCGCGGTGGTTGTATTGACATACCCTAAAGCGGTCAAGCCACATCTAAAGTCATCTCTCTTGCATATGGGCTGGGCCATATCTGCTCACAACGCCCGTGATTTTTACGAATCTTTCTTTGTGTTTATCTTTAGTATTTGGTGTAAAGAAAGATCTGATACAAGCTCTTGTAATCTCATGCAAGCGGTAAGCCTGGGGCTCGCGCACACACATACACAACTATCTTTTCTGCTATCGTCAAGTGGGGTGAAGGAGAAGGACGGGAAAGGAACTGCAAGGAACGGAGTGTGGAGTTGGAAATGGGATGTGAAATAAGATGTAGAGAAGATGTGAATACCAATACTTAACTGTTACATGTACAGCTCTATCTACCTTTTTGTGACATCTGCCCAGAGAATGCCATATCTTGAGTCGAGGTCTCGCTGGGCTCGGCAGTGGTAATGCCATTGCCCAGAGCAGGGAGCACGGTACGTGCGGTTTTAGCTTTCGCCGATAAGCTCCTCGCTGCAGAAAGCTGCAAGCTGAACACTTCCGCCGCACCGCCGTCCCGAAATGTTGGGACGACTGCGCATGCGCCACCCCTGAACCAATACATTCTAGCGACATATTGCATGGGCAGAACGCTTGAACAGAGACCGAGGTTTCCCACAACGAAGCCGTCCACGAGTCTAGGCAGTCTTATACCTGCAGATCGCCCGATGCTGTTTTATTCCCAGAGCCATGTCCCACACAAGAGATGCGCTTTTTCCGCCGAACGCCTCCGGTTAAGTCGATCTCCCGAGGATTTGCTTTGGCTCGTCCCCTTGTGGCGTGCCCGCCAGGGCTTGGGCCGCTTGTACCTGCGTCACGACTACACTATTCTGGGCGGCACGGTAGCAATCTAGCCGGCTACCAAGAGCCGGTTTATCTCTAGGACTGCTCTTTTCGATATGCTAACGTGCATGGTGCAGGTGTAGCGCGGGATGATGTGGACTATAGATTATATCGTTATCTCGGGACTGGGAGTTTCCTCTGACGAGGCTTGCGGTTTTGACGTTTGACGGCGCTCGAAGCTAGCTTGCGCAGGTACTATTTGGGGAGAAGAGATACGCTTTTAGGTACCTAGGTATTCGCTTTCCTCTTCTTCATATCTCCGTTCCGAGTTTTTGGGTCGGGTGCACGATAGACCGCTTGCCAATTCCCTGTCCGTCTTCAAGTCGCAAAGGCGTTTTTGTGGCTTGCGTTACGACTCGCTTTCGTTTCTCTCCCAAAAGCTTTGGGATTTTTTTTCTTGGTGGGCCAAGCTGTCTAGAAGAAAAGGAGATTTTGTACAAGGTACTATTACTGCGCTGTCTTCCTGATCGCGTCCTGTTCTTTACGTTGCCCACGCGCATCAGCAACGAGAGAAGAGTGACCCTGTGTGGTGACGACCAATAGCGCGACGACAGAATATTCGAAACCAAATTTGTTCGCGACCCATTCTAATATCATTGGTAGCGAGTACTCTGGTACAACTTCCAAAAGAAAAAAGTCAAATTCCTACATCGTTACGCTCCAAAGCATTCCAACACACCGACCTCACCACAAATATGCGACGAACCGCGCTCTTTTCCGCCGCAACGGCACTACTCACTAGTACCACAACCGCACAAGCCACAGCATCAACATCGTCAAAACGTGGTCTCTGCTACGTGCCCTCCGAAGACCATCCCGACGACGACAAAATATGGACAACCGGCCCATCACCACCGACATGGTACTACAACTACCAGAAGGATCCTTCACCAGCCTATGCCAACGACCCAGACATGCAATTCGTACCCATGCTCTGGGGAGCCAGCGATAGCGACACTGGAACCCCCTTCCTCGACTCAGTCAAGAAGCAAATCGCCGACGGACACAACATAAGCTACGTGCTCGGCTTCAACGAACCCGATGGTGGTCACAGCACTGGTGGTTCCAACCTTGCCGTCACCACAGCAGCCGCTCGCTGGAAAGCCGAGATTGAGCCTCTGAAGGAACTTGGCATTAAATTAGGTGCGCCTGCTGTTACCGGCGCAGAATCTGGTTGGCAGTGGTTGGAAAACTTCTTCAACGAGTGTGATGGCGGTTGCAATCCCGATTTCATCCCTGTACATTGGTACGGAAACTTCGAAGGCATGATGAGCCATGTTGGACAGGTTACGAACAAGTGGCCCAATTTGACAGTCTGGGTTACCGAGTATGGTTACCCGAATCAGCCGCTCGAGGCGACACAGACCTTTTACAATCAGAGTGCTCAGAGCTTTGATAGCTGGCCGTAAGTACTGCTTCTATTTGCTTCCTACGAGAAGGGTATACAGACTAACACTATGATCAGCAACGTCACACACTACTCCTACTTCGGCGCCTTCCGCTCCGACGTCAGCAACGTGGGTGCCAACGCCGCTATGCTTACCCAGGACGGCAAACTGACGGATATTGGATCCTGGTATATGGGTGGTGCTGAGACGAACAATGTGCCAAAGGCTTCTGGCGCCTCATCACTAGGTGCAACACCGGGTGCACTTGCCTTGAGCTTCGTGGCTATGGTGTTGATTTACTTGGCTTGAAGCTGCGTGGGGTGGATTCTTCTTGGCGTTCCGGTGTACCGTAGAAAAGTAATTGCTCGCCTACAACCGCTTTATATTGGAGCGTTAATGCACCACCTATGCCGGCGAGAGCACGTAAAAGCGGGGCGAGCGGAGAACGCAATAGAACGACACAGCCTTGCCAATCATCAGTGCCCCTATCTACCCTCTTTGATGCCAGTTAAGGACTTACAGTTCGTTTAGCCGCCCGGGAATTGCCTCCAACGCTATCATGTTCTGCTTCCCGAAAGCGCATTCTGGGTTGATTCGCTCTCGCTTACACTTGCAGGCTTCCTTCTAGGCGTCTCTGTCGTACGAGCGGTGCATCGCCCACCCTCTTGTTTCCATCCTACGTCTTGCTACTGCATGTTGCATATACGCCACTTCAGCCGTATGTGATGGATGGACAGAGAGGCTGGCTCAGTGATGCCCACCACAGGCTACTACCAGGCTGTTAACCTAACTCCTCCCCGGCCTATGTCTTCACATTGAGTGACGTTTCCATTCTGATTCTCGACTGAGCCATGCCTAAAGACAACCTTCGCTTGCTCTCGCTAGACGGTGGTGGTGTGCGTGGCCTTTCCAGCCTGATGATTCTGGACCGACTGATGAAACACATTAATGAAGATGCGCCTCCCAAACCATGCGAATATTTCGATATGATCGGTGGAACAAGCACAGGCGGGTGGGTGGAGCTCCCATAAACCAAGCTGTAGACCGTATTAACTGAACAGAATCATCGCTATTATGCTCGGACGGCTAAGAATGTCAGTAACCGAGTGCATCGAGGCATACGTGTCGCTCTCTGAACGAGTATTCCGAAAACAGCGGAGTAAATGGAAGATCAACTTCCATATACAGGGCCGCTTCAACTCGAAAGAGTTGGCAGAGGTAGTGAAGGAGGTACTCGTAGAGCAAGGTTTCAAAAGGGATGAGTTACTCAAAGACTCGCCTCAAGCAGGGTGCAAGGTGTACGTCTACATGCACTATTCATGTGATGAGATATTGACTACTATAGCTTCGTGTGTGCGACAAGTAAACATAACACCGACACTGTTTGCCTTACAAGCTACCGTACGCCGCGCGGCGGCAATGATGACTTGCTCGACGCAGTGACGATATGGCAGGCGTGTCGAGCCACCTCAGCCGCATCCGGGTTCTTCGATCCGATCGAGATAGGAAGATACGACGAACAATTCGTCGACGGCGCAACGGGAGCAAACAACCCAGTAAGGGAAGTCTGGGACCAAGCGGAGCTTTTATGGGGTGCACCGCTTGAAGGCAAGCTGGAGCGCCTAGTATCGATTGGAACAGGGATGCCCTCTATGCAGCCATTCGGTGATTATGTCTTGGATATCGTAGGCACGCTCAGAAAGTTGGCTACTGAGACAGAGAACACAGCAGAACACTTCCGGCGCGAGAAGTCTCAGCTTGCTTCTGATGGGCGGTATTGTCGGTTCAATGTGCCGAGGGGATTAGAGAACATTGGGCTGGAGGAGGCGAAGAGACGTAACGAGATTGCGTCAGCCACGAGGAGCTATGTGAAACTTGAAGAGGTACGAACTCAAATGTTGGTGTTTGCAGGCAAAGCGGACAAGCAGAATCTACCTGGTGAGTAGCTTTGTTCAGTACAAGATCGACGTAACTCGTTCTATGCAACTTCCATAATCTGCATCGTTTATACGCAGACCGATTCAACATATTCCTTCTGATAGCATGAAATAGTGCGCCAGGACTAATGTGAGGTCTCAGATGCACCTATGTATACCGAAGACGATCTTGACGCTCAGAATTTCCTGTCTCTGGGCTACGGTCCTGAGTTCATACGCCGTGATCCTCACTACTGGCGTCGCCTTACCTTGAAGTCGTTCAAGAAATACACAGCTATCTACGAATGTTGCAAGAGCCAGGAACATCGACAAAACGAACTTATATCTTGTGAGTATAGAGGCAATCAACCGGCTGTCGCGTATCATCACTTTGAGCACTGGCTAACCCCAGCAGTCAACGTTTACAGACGTTTTATTCCTCAAGAGATAAACAATGAAGTTTTGCTTAGAGTCTGGCAACGTCTCATTGAGCAAGAAACAACGGAGCCTGAATCAATTGCGCACTCAAAGCCCTTCGTTCTCGCTATTACATATATGCTGCATGTCGAGAGGCTACATATCGAAAACAACGACGAGCAGAAACCTAGATCCAGCACGAACAATCCTCGGAGACTTCCGAGATCCTGCTTGGAGCGGCTTCGTAAGCTTTGTGTATGGATACAGTGCGACTGTGGTAAGAGCTGCATGCGCCGATGGAATTTTGTGGATGAAATTGGCATATCCTACGTAAGGGGGCAGTGCGCAGAGGAGGTTATATGTCCAATCTTGTGCTTGGTCTCAGGTATTGGAGAGGCCTCGAGAGATCACTATGCAATCTTGGAGGCTATGCGAAGGAAGTGGAACATTTTACATCCGGCGTCGTAGCTATTTGGATTCATCTCAAGCAGCTAATAGCTCCGCAAATCTTATTGAGTGTAAAAACACTACCTGCGTTATAGCATTCGCATCTTCCCAAATCTAACCTCACTCAGAGAAAACGGTTTCGGCGTATTGTGGGTTTCGTGCGTCCTTATGCAGCTGATCGCTTTCATTTCTTTTGCAGCGGCGACGGTACAGGTAGATGCCTAGGAGCAAAAGTGCAAGAACCACCCCTCCACCTATGCCCACGCCAATACCGATTTTAGCCGGTTGGGACAGTCCCTATCAATACAGACGTGTTAGTGCTGAATCGTCACCCCCGTACAGAATGTACTTACAGATGAGGGTTGACCGGTCTCTCCCGCATCTGGATCTGGTACATTTGTGCCTTCTGCATCGGTCGCTGAAGCAGGGGTGGTGGAAACTCCTGCACCAGGTGTTGTGCGCGCTTCTGAATTCGTGGTACCACTGTCGGAAAATCCATCAATTGCCAGAGCATATGCCTGGCCGGCAGTGGAGAAGAATATCGAGCTGGTCTCCTCGCCAACATAGGTGACAACGGATGTCGCCGAGATATCGGAGTAGCATTTCCCTCCGAATAATGGCCGTTGTGCGATAGGGGTCCCAGGAGGATCGAAGGAGAACGACCTAGCACGTTAGTGTTATATCGGTTGCCTTCCAAGAGGCACTCACGTCGGGCAGCAAACTACGTGCGTGATGGTCTTGTCGGCTATCATAGTCGACGCCGTGGAGTGGTCTTGAGGGCAGCTAATAGGATTGAACCCAACCGACACTGTACCTTTCAGGGACATGAGGTAGCTGTCAACTACCACTTTGGGGTAACAGGCGGAGAAAGTAAGGCTTGGACCTGGTACTATCTCATTGTACCACACTTCCCATCCCCTCTCTGGTCCCATCATTGTAAGCGAGTTCGTACATTCTGGCGGAGGGGTGAAGGTTGTAGTCAATACTGGAATGTTGGTGATAAAGGACCGCTCCACCAGGGTCGATGAAGGGCCAGCAGAGATGACTGGAAGGCTAGATTCGGCCATGGAAAAACCTATCAAACATCCAGAGGGTAAAAGAGAACCCTGTGACGTTTATTAAGAGCGTCAAGGAGCAAAGGCAAACAAGAATATGTAGTGACTGTCAGAATTGTTGTAGGGGAACCAAAGATACGAAGACGGGCCATGCAAGCAGTGGGGGAGTACTCACAGCCTCCCCAGCTCGTCAAACTAGACCCTCCATCATATGATGGAGAACCTATTCCAAGAGTATTGGTGCCACATATGCACCTTTCTTCTCGTACCACTTCAGCCTCACGTCCTTCTCATCTGTATCCAGCCTATCAATACCACTAGGTGCTTTCGCTTCCTACATCTTATACACTTGACGCCCTCATCCGACGGACGCAAGTGATAGGCAGCAGGAAGGCACTGCTCGCCCAGCATCCAAAATTGGACTTGGCGTATACTCTCAACTGTCCGCAAGGCGTTGGCTTGAACCTTATTGCCGACAATGCTGGATGCTGGTCTAAGTGAGCAGCCACCAGTGGAACTTCTTCATGGGTTCGCGCATGCGTTCCGAGTCTAGATGTCTCATATTTGCATTGGTACGATGGGTCGCATGATGATTTTCATCACGATCTTTGAGACCGGCTACATCGAAAGAATTCCACAGCAAGTAACAGACCATGAAAGCGTTGGGTGGCTTGTCATGTCTCCACAAGTCTGACGGAAGAGGTAGTAGTAGGCTAAAAGCTGCACTCTAACAGTCCTTTATTGTGAATCCTTCGCTGTCGTAGACTCCGGTCTAGGATCATGTGGCAGTGTTACCGGTCCACATATCAGGCTCAGACAGCCCAAGTGCGCTTCCCCCTGTACCCTAAGCCAATCGGCATATGCGTACAGACGCTGCCTAGCATATACTATCCGTGCAGGAATGGAGGACCACAGGAACACCAGAACGTTCTCATTTCAAGGAAAAGGCGCACGACCACTTACTCCAGATGAGGCATGAGCTCCACAATTCACGCCTAGTCTTGTTATAAGTGAACCATATCCATAACCAGGTTTTCCCCCTAGCTTGATGGGAAAAGAGTCAAAGATCACGAATTTCGTGGTAGTGTCACTCTCAGAGTGTTTGCCGATGCAGATTCCATGCCTTTTACGACTTGACACATCTAACGAGACAGATCAGTTTCCCGTGGTGATTCTGGTAGTCGATGTATCACGATGGGAAGTATTGGGTCGACCGCTCGAGGCTGAGCTTGTAGAAAATATGAGCATGCAGATACGCGAACACGTTGATCCTGCGAGATGGCCAAGGAACTCGCAACCATCCGCCACTGCATGCGTCAGTGATATTGCTTTTTCTGTGGCGTGACGGTACGAACGTATGGCGGCTGGGAGAGTAACGATCAGTAGCACTTAGGAAGATACTCATCTTGAGAGTGAGAGCTCATCCCTTTCGGGCTGAGGAATGGTGGTGCCTACATTGACCGACGTATCGGTCGACGTAAGACGCTGAAGAAATCGATCTTGCGTCCCCTGACGCTTCCGACTTTCCACGCTTCCGAGATGCAGGTGGGAACGGGGCGCGGTCGATCCCGCGATTAAATCCACCAATCTGACAAGGCGCTAGCCTGATCATCGGCACAACAGGAGCGTTAGATTGGAAGTACATGCTCCCAACTGTATCAATGGCTATGCTGAAGTAAACTTAGAGCGTGGTGTTTGTGGTGAACAGTCGTGAACCAAGGAAATGGCGGGGGCTGGGGCACTAGACATCGGCCCGGTCTTGCACGTCATCAAACATCACGAAACTCTGTCGAACCATTCCAGGAAACACTTAATTCTGGTTTTGTGAGATGTTGCTACTCTAGCTTTCTACAACTCGCTTACGCCCAGTGTCTTTGGTCTTATCATTCATTCTGCCATTCTTTCAACGTGTTTAGGCGACACGCGCAGTGACAGGGATGACGACGTGGCCCTTAGCGGGAACATCGCCCTGTCCGTACACGACCTGCTTGGTAGGCTTCTCGATGGTTTGTTGGATCTTCAGAGCTACGGAAAATGTTAGTTCTATCTCTCGTGTGCATACGAGCGGCGGTTCAAAGAATACTTACTGCCGTCTGTTTGGGGCTCAACCGAGAAGGTATCTGGGTCGCATACAACGTTGAACTGCATGCCCTTCTGTGACCAGTTGCACTTGGACTCAAGACCTTTGGGGTATTCCTCGGAAACGAAGACTGCGGTAAGGTCATAGGCTACGACCTGCTGGCTGATGTCCCTGTAGGAGCGGGTAACGTTCCAAGCAGCCTCGATAGGGTTGCTGGCGCTGACGGAAGCAGCGAGGGCGAGAAGAGGAAGCGTGAAGTGCATGGCAGCGGTTGTAGTAGGTTGTTTTTGTGGTTACCGTTTGAATGAACTTGGTGGGATGAGTAACTGGGCAGAGGCCCAGACGGGGTGGTTATATATTTCAACGTCTCGTATTCCGACGTCAGAAGTATCCACGTTACTTCGTAACCTCAACATCAAGCTCGGAGGTTAGTGCGTTGCATTGACCAACGCACAGTTGATACGAATGAACCAGAAGGTACTTGCATGGATACCATAGTCAAGAGACGGTGAGAATGTGTGTTCTTACCTGTCATCCAGGACTCGCTCGGTCGATCCAGCTGCACGGGCATTGTACAAGATGTCCTCAAAGCCGTCGTATCTATCTCGGAGTGGATGCCATGCATCCTTTTCCGGCAATTCATCAACATAGTTTCTGATGGACTATGTCGCAGGAGGTACGGAATCAGGAATCAGAAATGTTATGTTGTTACCAGTCTCTGTGTGCTAAGCATTCACGGAGAATAGGGGCCCGTAAAGACGTGCCGGGAGCTTCGGTTCCCTCGTGTACATGCGGGGAAGCCGGAAAGGTACTCCCGTGAATACGATCGTAAAGGTCGGGCCGATAGAAGGCGAGCGAGCCGGCCTATAGCAAGGTATACGTCTTGTACATGGCGGGTGTGGTTTTGTTCTAAAGATGGAATGTCCGCGACCCTTAACTGGAATTAGAAGCAATACAATTAGGCCGCTTTTCTCTGGCCACTTGGAGCTGTCGCAATTCAGCCCACGACGACAAGCCACTCTCCACGCGCCACAAAGGAGTGGCACGCGCGGCTTCACTGCATAGAGCTGCTTAAACCATGCGCTTTGTAGCTTACGAAGTAGTAGATGACCGAAGACGTTGTTCCGCTCTAGCCGTTCCCCACCAATTTTCCTGACTAGAGTACGAGAGGCGGTGAAGTGTAGCGGTGAAAGCATACTCTTCTCTTCCTGTCCAAGCCCTGACAAACTTCATTGCTGGAACACGGACAAAGTGGATGTTTCGGAGATTTTGGACGCGGCGAAGATGTGAGTTTGGGAGTAAGAAAACAGGCGCCAGGGCGCTAAGATGAACTCAATGGTCTTCCCTGTACATTCACACATTACTGACCATACACTGCACCGAAAGACGCTGCTGACGTGAAACTCAGCCAATTGTAAGACATATTGCGTTTTTGTATTTCTAGGTGTAGTGTCTATAAGCGTAGGTATATATCAACTTTCAGAGACAAGATCAAACCGCCAGGTCCACGCTGGAACTATCTCACACTCACAATCACCTATCTAGAGAGCCAGTTGCCACAGGGTTTTCCTATCATCTTTCTTGTCTAGTGTGTCAGTACCAGCCACCATGGTGACCATAGCAGGCTCCGTAGGCGTCGAAGTAGCTGTTGGTTCAATGCCAGGTTTTGTAGGCCAATTGAATCCTGAAGACCAAGCGGGTTTGGTACTAGACGGAGTAGGCCAGTTGAACCCTGAAGACCAAGTACTGTATTCCCCAACCGCCTGCGACCCACGTGCCTCAATCTTCTGTGCAGAGCCCAACGGCAGCTCCGGACCAGCATAATCCATCTGCAGATCCCGCTGTGTGGCAAGTTCATCCGCAGCCAACAGGGCCGCCGAGTAAGCCAGATACCATGTGCGACTTGCGCCTCCATCGAGTTGTTCGTTGAAGTTTGGGTTGGAGAAGAACTCGTACGAGGCTTTTTGGTCGAATAATGCTTGGTTGGCTTTCAGGATGCTTTTCCAGCCGCCTTGGACTTGCTCGGCGCGTCCGTTGTCAAAGTACGTGGCCCACTCTTCTTGGACGAATTGCCTACGACGTGTATAGGCGGACGACGGGTTCAGAGGAATCATGTGTATGCCCTCGATGTATTCAATGTTTCCTCCAAAGTACGTAGTATGATCGATCTTGTTCTCAAAGAGGATACCGGTGGCTTTGTTTTTGACAAAGCCTGCAGGTTGGTTCGTGTTGTTGGCCTCCATAAGGAAGTAGTTTTTGATACTGCGCGCTTGCACGGCGAGCTGCAAATTTCCGCGAGCCTCCATGTTTGGATCCTGAATGACCCTACCCCACATCTTGATCGCGTAAGTCGCAAAGGTATCCTCGGATGTTGATTCCTGGTCCTTTCCGTCACCGGACTCGAAAAGACCCTTTGCCCATGAATGACCATGAAACCAGTCAAATGAGCGCTGGAACGGGAAATACTCGTCGGCTACTGGGTTAGCAAAGTCGCGCACAAGGGAGTTAACCCAGGCTTTGTTGCTGCCTTGACCAAGCCAGGTAGGATCAAGATGCCCGATGACAGCGGCAGTATACACAAAGTACCCGTAATGGAAGTGGTGATCATTGTATAACGTGTTTCCGAAGTCCAGCCCCAGGTCTCCTGAGTAGCTGGCGCCCGAGACGATGCCCTTCCAGACCTGATCGTAGACCAGCGGCTCAGGCTGGGTATTGTTAACAAAGACGTTGAATGCATCCTTGAGACGGTCCAAACCAGCCGCAGCATACTGGCTGTTGCCTGTCATGCTGTTCAGCGTATAGATGATGGTAGCAAACTTGGCCAGGCCTTTGCCGGAATAGTACATGCTATTCAGCGATGTCTGCCGGATCATGTCCTGGCTGAGCTCAGCTATGCCAGCTTGATTTATGAGCGCAAGAGCCTGTGAGTTCACGTTGATGTTCTCCGAGCCCCCAGCCGCGTTGGGATTTTTAGCCCATGGAGCAAACCCAATAGTGTCAGGAAGGTCGTTCTCCACCATGGTCATCCGGTCAGCGACGATGGCTCGTGCGAAGCCTTTCGTGGTTGTAACAAGAGTGATGTCCTTCAAACTAGCAGCCGTCTGTTGATCGAACGACTCGACGTGGTGAGGTAGTGCATACATAAGCAGCGGTCGTTCCACGAGGCCACCTTTGGCCCAATCTATCGTGTAGCTTCCGAAAGCTCCGTTGACTGTCGCAGAAATAGTCGCGTTGACAGCATATACGCCGGCACTGTAATCAAATATGCTTTCTACTGCCTCGCCGGATGGATTCTTGGTGACTTGGATTTTGCCTATAAAATCGGCAGGACCAGTGATTGTAGTGCTGTTCTCCAATACGAAGGGCAGCGTACCGATGGAACCGTCTGATGTAACGTACAAGAGCCAGTGTGAGCCATCATTGAGTACGATCCGGTATTTGTCCGTGATTCCGTTGACTCGCTCAACCCAGTCCAGAGAAAGGAAGAAGACAGTGGTTTTGATTACCGGCTTTGCCCTATCGTAGACAGCGGTCACCATGCCCATACCCTGAGCAACGGGAAGAGACATCAAGATGCGAGTGCCTTGCATACTGTTTGGTCGCAAGTTCACCCACGTCGAGAAGGCTCCCAAGCGCTCAAGCGAAAGAGAGGTATCGGACTTCAGCTCCGCAGCGGTTAGTATGATATGATGGATACCAATTGGCGAGATGAAGAACCGTGTGTTGTTTGCATCGGGGACGAAGGCAAATTTGTCTCGTGTGGTGTGACTAATGGCAATACCTGTAACAGCAAGGAGCCTAAATCAGCAATGGCTCAACCCCAGCGCCTTAAATACGTACCATGAGTGCCATCATTGGGGTTGCTATCCCACGACAAAGAGTAGGGGTGTGTCCAGGTCGAGAAAGACCGGCTGCCTAGGAAGAAGTTTGCGTAAAACTTGTTGGTCTGAATCGGGACGTCCTTATCGTCGATATGCTGCTTCTGGACGGGATGATCCGCTCTTGAAGGCAGGGCTTGCGGAGGTGCCCCGGTCGCAATGGGTTGGAAGATGTTCGACGAAACCGGGTTGAACGGTGCTGTGGGACCGGGGCTAAGAGGCGTTTCGTTGGGGCACAGTGGCTTGGTGGCGGTTGTAGTGCCTGGACCGTCGGCTGGATCCTTTGTGAAACCGCCTGAGGGAAGGCCTGTCAGGAAGCTCTACTGGTAGTTAGTTTCTGCATCTTCAAGGTCTCGCAAGGGTCTTTTCAGGTTCTAACATACCCCCGAATCGGATGGTTCGCCAGTGGGAGAGACCGACTGCAACGATGTAATAGCTGTGCTATAACTTGTAGTGACTGAGACGTCTGTCAAGGTTATCTCACGGGCTATGACTATGTTTGCGTCTCTTTTCGCTCCTCCTTTGGCAGGCAGACTGCGAACGGAGGACACATGGGTAAGTGCCAACAAGAAGCATGTCAGCTTCACCATGCTGACAACCGAATATGTTCAAACAAACGACAGATAGAGAAAGGGGTGCTGTTGTGACACTGGAGTACAGTACGCGTGTATGTTTCAAATGGGAGCTCGACGAAGGAGTGTGTTGAATGATGGATGATAATTTGGTGGAGAATGCCTACCTGCAGGGGAGACAAGATATATAACCCAGGTAGGTAAGCCATGAGATCCTAGGCTCGTGGGATGTTTTACCGGGTTGTCGTCGTTCATGATCACTATAGGAAGGTCGGTACATACACCTAAGACATCAAGCTCAGGTGTGAAGAGTGGAAACTCTAGGCGCGGCTAGATTACTACAGTAAGCTCCCAATACCTCGCCCCGCATTACACAAGAGTCTCGGGTACCTGAAGCCTCATCATACACAGGCTCCCAGAGCCAGCCCAGAATTACTGTGGCACTCTGGTCGTCCCGTAAAGTCTTCGCTAGTAACGATTAGAACTCGTTGATATAAGTCCTTGCCTAAGACAGTGGTGTTGTAGAATTCTGGAAATGGATTGAAAGCTCATGCAGTAAGATTTGTAGCGAAGAAACGGTTGTCGTGGTCACATACAGGGCTTGCGCGTTGGTCAGTAGATACATGGAGTATGGTCTCCATACATGTGGAATCATGGCTGGCTCGCATGATCGAAAAACGTGTGCCAATCTTTCACAGGCATATCCAAAGGGAGACTGAAAACAGTGAAAGTCCGGTACAGCGTCCCCAAAGCATTCGTGAGTAGGTGCTAATGATCTGGATTGTGTTAAGGGCGGCTCGGTTCTCAGGGATACGTGAAACCAAATGTCTCTGGTAGAGCAGAAGATGATGGGAAGTTGACAGGTGACCATCCTTTTTAACGTAGTCCCAGGCCGATTTGGTTTTCTCGGCGTTTTCGTGGTCTTTGAAGAGCACGGGAATGCCGTATTGAAGCTTGTGGATCATAGCCCGTGGTGCGAAACTTACGCTGCTTAAATGCGGTAAATATATCGCTGTTGTCTTCTTCTTAACTCGAGAGGAAGCTACCTACCGTGTAAGTATTGTGGTTCAAGGACTAGAAGATAATGTTCAGCATGTTCGCAATGCCCTCGTGATAGTACCCTCGGTCAGGCTTGACGGACCCAAGAAACAATGATTTCGGCAATGGATCCAGAAAACACCTATGCGCAAGAAGCGTTGAACACAAGATCTCAGACTACCGAAACCAGGGCTGGGGTCTCGGTTGTCGGTCTCGAGACTGCGGTGAGACACGCGCCTTCTGTCCGTGTGGAGAGATCTGCAGTGTGACAGGCGCACATGGTGGAGAGACGAGGCTGGTGTGCACTCAGAATGGTCCCAGATAGCTCTCTTGGCTGCGCAAAATTTCTAGGCTTTTGCCATGATTTATGCTAGAGCCATGATGCTTCGTGGTATGGATGGTAGGGGAAAGGAATGTGGCGAGCATCACATGCCAGAATCCCATCGGAGATGCTCTATTCGTAGCTCCGTCGAGTCGCACAGCCACAGACACCTTGACGTCATCATGATCGACGCCACTTCCCCTACCAAATGATGCTACTGCATTCACATACATTGCAATAACCTGTAATCTGCTGTCCTACAATACTCACTCTTTCCCATCGGAACATACAGCCTCAATTGTACTAACACGAACGTCCTCCAACACACCTCATCACTTTCTACTACCTACTAATTCTACAATGGCGACATCACATCCACCTAACGAGCCGCCGCCCAGCTACGAAGCTGCTATCTTCGATGCCGACCCTTCACCTGGCTTACATCGTGTCTCCACCGACGGTCCTGCAGCACGTACCGAGCGTAATGGCATCCCACCCGACCGACGGCGCTCCATGGAGGACGAGATGCGCGAGCTACCTCCCGGCTGGGTACGTAGTTTTGACCCAGAGACTTCACATCAGTTCTTCGTCGACACGAAGGCAGATCCTCCGCGTAGCATCTGGACACATCCCTACGACGACGAGCAGTTCCTTAACACGCTGAGCCCCGAAGAGCGTAAGAAGCACACTCGCATGCATAGGACCATGACACTGGAGGACCTCACAGCTGAGGATTCCGACGCCGAAGACCAACTCCCTCCGCGACCTACTTCCAAGGGCAAGGGTGCTGCGGCGCCTGGTGAACCCACAGGCATACATAAGTTCTCTCGCAAGCTAAAGGACAAGATCACTGGCCAAACCCACACAGAACGCGAACAAGCTCGTGCCCGTCGCGCAGAGCAAGAACGTCAAGCATACCTTCAACATCTCCGTACACGGCAAGCACTTATACGCGCCATGGAAACAGGCCAGCCGCAGTTGTTAGGCAAGGACCGTCAGGGCAGAGACGTGTACATCGAGCCACCTCATGGTCCTTACGCTCCAAGGGGAGCTTACGGATACAACCCATACGGTGGCCGACAGTTCGGGAATCCAGGCGTACGGTATATGCGTCCAGCTGGACCGTACGGTAGGCCGTATGGATACGGCTATGGAGGAGGAGCAGGGTTACCCATCGCAGCTGGTTTCCTTGGTGGCGCCATGCTTGGTGGTGCGCTGTTCTAAAGGACTGATGGTAACGATACCTGACAACAGGTGTCACTGGCCGAGCACATGTCCATCGTTATGATGACGAGCTTGGGGCATAGATATGGAGACCTGTTCAATGTCCTTTTCGATACTTAAGATATCCTTAGTAATGACTTACGAATTAAACATGATTACGCCATAAGATGTGCCCTTCGGTGCCTGCTGCTATGTAAACTTACATTATGACATCTTTTCATTATCCTACGCCCCTGAGAAGGCTTTGATCAGACAACTATGTGTCAATACTTTGAAATAAATATCCTTCTGAAGCTATAGCTTCAACGCCACACGGCAGAAAGTACAAATTTTTGAGGCAAAAACATGGGGTATCTTATTGTAACTCCTAGCCTAAGTTCAAACCACAGTCACAACCTTTCTGGGCTATTATCGCAAACCAGATATGTCTCTCGACATGGAGGTAACACGATCTTCGAGTTCCTTCTTCTTTTTCTCAAGTTGACGCGTCTCCTCTTCTTCCCGTCTTAGGTCTTCTTCCATCATTGGCGCCGCAACAGGCTCCAGCTCCTCTTCGACCTCGTCAACATCTTCGTCCATGTAGTCTCCTCGTGATCTGCTCAGCTTACCAAGCTGAGTTTGTTGTTCGGCGAGGCGTGCTTCGTAGTATTCTACCGAGGCTGCGACCTGTGCATGTCGTTGGCGCATGGCTGCGATTCTGTCGTGGATCCCTGGTATGGGGCTACGTTTGGTTAGCCACGAGTAATGTTTTGTAGTATTCCAAGACGTACTAGACCCGGAGCAATTTCTCGGCACCTTCCAGCAGGGATTCAACGTCAACTTCGTTCTTGTTGCTGCCATTGTACATTCTGTAGCCTAGGCCTGAGCCTGCTCCTCCTCCGCCGCCTCGTCGAATCCTCTCCACCAGCTCATTGCCGAGCACCGCAGCCACAGCCGTGTTCCGTCTGGGTGCTCTTACAGCATTTGCACCGCCTCCAGATGTGCTTGTGCCGCCGCCTCCATTGGGATTGAAGATGGTGTTGCGCCTATTGGTAGATGGAGCTGGTTCGGCATGCTTAGGAGCTGCGGGTGGCGGAGGGACGGAGAACAGAGCGCGTTCGTGGATTTCAGTGTCTCTGATCAAGCTCGTGATATCATGGTTTTGGAGTAAGGCGTTGGTAAAGATCTTGGGCGGGGCGAACCTGGGGTGTGTTCAGTCGAGTGCTATAGCAGGTGAATGGACGGTGGACCAACGGCAACTCTGCGATTGACGCGGCGCATAGCGAGATTTGCTCTAGATGTGCATCTAAAAGTGTCATGATGGGCGTCAGCTGTATATAGAAAGTGTGTACCGGGGTGACGCGGGGTGTAAACAATGGCCGGCCGGTGCTCGATAACTATTCCCCGATGTTCCGCCGCGCTGGCGTCAGTGAAGCTGGGAGCTCAACCTCAGCAAAGCATCAACACCAACCCACATCCACCACCACTCCCTCCACATCACCCGCACCTTCCGTCTTCTCCGCATAAACACATCAAGAGCGACCATCATGGCGGACAGCATGGAAGGCGTCGTCGTCGAGGGCGAGCAGCCCAAGGCCGAGAATGTAGAGCAGAAGGCCATTGCTGGTAAGTAGACGACTTCGCCGCGCAGCATGCCTTTTACTTCAAAGTGTCCCTGTACCAACTGCACCACCTCGTGGCCGGTCCGCAAGATGTGTCCGAACCATATCATCGCCACCGAGATTGCGGCTTGCAAGTATCTCTACCACCGTGCTGACCCGACGACTACAGACATCCGGGGCAACTTTGTCCTCCTCGAGCGAGCCGTCGCCCAGTTCGATACCCGCTTCACCCTACGCGCCCTCCGTTCCATATCATCGCTCCGCAAGAGGCTCACCGACCGTGTACTATGCTCTGTCATCATCCTGACATACTCGCCAAACAACGCCACGGCGCGCAACTTCATCGAGTACATTGGCATGGATGGCGAGGCGATACAGAGCGTTGTATCCCAGTACAAGGAGGAGGTCCAACTCAACAAAAACAACACCAAGGAGCCCCTGCCCGAGGTGGACATTTACATAGCCATTCTGATACAGGTATGTTTGTAGACGGTACGACTGCTGGATTCGCTAACAAGCGCAGGTCTATCTCTACGATCAGAAGGAGTTCGAGGAGGGAGCTGAGTTCGCCGAGACGCTGGTAGACAAGATCCGAGAGCTGAACAGGCGGACATTGGACTCGTTAGCAGCCAAGGCCTACTTCTACTTCTCCCTGTTCCACGAGGAAATGGACCCCAAGCCCCCGTCGAAGCAGTCGCCCGTCATCCAAATCCGCGGAAAGCTGCTCGCTGCGCTCCGAAGCGCAGTGCTCAGGAAAGACCCAGACACGCAGGCCTCCGTTACCACACTGTTGCTCCGAAACTACCTCTCGACCGCCGACATCACACAAGCCGATCTCCTTGTTGCGCAGACGCAATTCCCACCACAAGCCCCAAACAACCAGGTTGCGAGATACCTGTACTACCTTGGCCGCATACGGGCTATTCAGCTGTCCTACACCGAGGCACACGAACACCTAATCAGCGCCACCCGCAAGTCGCCCTCTGCTCACTGCGCAACAGGCTTCTACCAGGCTTCGATGAAGCTCTTGGTAGTCGTTGAGCTGCTGATGGGTGACATTCCCGAGCGCGAGGTCTTCAGCCAGCCCCGTCTGGAGCGTGCTATGGAGCCTTACTTCCGCCTCGTTCAGGCAGTGCGCGTTGGTGATCTACAAGGCTTCCTGAAGGTGGTGCAGACGTCCTCGTCCGTCTTCCAGCGCGATGGCACCTACACCCTCATCCTGCGCCTGCGACAAAACGTCATCAAGACTGGTATCCGTATGCTGTCGCTTTCATACTCGCGCATCTCGCTCCGCGACATCTGCATCCGTCTTGGTCTTGAGAGCGAGGAGTCGGCCGAGTACATTGTTGCCAAGGCTATCCGCGATGGTGTCATAGAGGCTTCTATTGATCACGAGAAAGGATTCATGCAGACCAAGGTTGCCGGTGATATCTACGCAACTCGTGAGCCTGGTGAGGCATTCCACGAGCGTATCCGGGCATGCTTGACCCTGCACGACGAGTGTGTCAAGGCAATGCGATACCCCATGAACCAACATCGTCTGGAACTCAAGAACGCCCAGGAGGCGCGAGAGAGGGAGCGCGAGTTGGCCAAGGAGATCCAAGATGGTGACATTGACGAGGACGACGCGGGTGGAGACTTTGAAGGCTTGTAGAGGGGTCATACAGCTTGGACGATTCATTCCGTGAGCGTGTAAGATAGCCGCATAAGGGCTGGCATTGATAGACGTTCCAGACAGTGTGGGACAGACATCGTAATGATGCATGAATAGAACAAATCTGAGACGTCACCACATAAGTTTGAACACACCAGTGGCATGTGATGGATGCTACAAGAGTCGCTAATCTGACAGATGGATCCATGCTGCGCATCCGCGCGAGAACTAGCCAGTTGCAGCAAGATTCCGTGAACGTCCCCGCAGCTTGTCCAAGGCCCAACGCTCCCGCCCCACACCAGCTCTCCCTCGCGAACGTTACTTCGCGATTGCCATCATCTCCGTGCCGTCTGACCACTCAATCATGATTCACTGCCGCAGCCATGTAAGTCGTGTCCCACAGAGTAACTCGACCCGCCGCCGCACACAGCCCATCCGAACCCGTCCCTAATGTCCAACAACAGGATTGACGTACCCCGGCGACTCCGGCGCGCCATCCTACTCAACGACCTCGCCCTCGTCCAACGCATTATCCGCAACAACCACACGTACCTACGCAATCCCGACTTCGAAGACCGCTCCAACACATCACTGCACCTCGCTGCGAAACATGGCTTCACATCCATCGCCGAATTCCTCGTCGACGCGGGCCACGAAGACGGAATGATCAGCCGTAACAACGACTGGGAAACACCTCTCATGCTGGCCGCAAGCGCTGGAAAGGAAGAATGCGGCGTCTACCTCGCCAAGCGCTTCCCTGAATCCGTAGACTGGAAGAACAAAGCTGGTCTCGACGCGTTGATGCTGGCGTGTAAATCTGGTTCCGGGACGCTGCATCTCATCCCCACGCTGATCCTCCATGGACCCAGTATACTTTCTGCGAGCGACGCGCAGGGCAACACGGCGCTGCACCATGCCTCTGCGGCGGGAGAATTGAAAGCGCTAAGGATGTTACTGCAGTATGGAGCGAATCCGCTGGCGAGTAATAGCTACAGCTGGACACCTGTTCATTACTCGGCCACCACAGCGGCAGAAGCATATTTCAAGACTCTCATCATCGAGTTTGAGAAGAAGAAAGCAGAAGGGAAACGCGCGGTCAAGGAGAGGGAGCGGCAGCGTACCGCAGGCGTCAGGCTGGTTACTGATGCCGAAGGTTTAGGAGGCGCGAATGCAGGTGTGCCAGAGGGGAGGGCTTCTGTTGAAAGTAACAGACAGCGGGCGAGGGATGACGCGGCCATTGCAGGGCTTCCGGCGCCCGGTATGATGGAATGGAGTCCTATAGAGAGGAGGAGGGCTATGACGCCCACTGAGGGCAGGGGGTGGACATTTACGCCTGATGGAATGAGGCCGAGGGCTGAGACCGGCGAGTCTATATAGGCATACATTGGGTGTTAGAAGGGGTTGGCATCGAGCAAGGAGCATTGAAGAGCGGAACTTTGGCGTTGTGGGGTCACGGTTTGTATATTGATATATGTACCATCACGCATACTCTTTTGTACTCCTTCGAGCTTTCAAACGAAACTTTTTGAGCTGATCCTCATTCTCTAATACATCATGCATCAGGCTTCTCAACTCGATTCGCGGCGATGCTATTCCGTCAAATTCTACACTGAACCAAAGAAATCCACCCTATACTACATTGGAGAGAGACGCTAAACATCTCTTTGGAGCACACCTAGGTAATACTTGTTCCTACTACAATAAAGCGTGTTGACATAATATAGACGTAGATAGAAGATCTAGAAGTCTACAATACTATGAATTTGTACAAGTTTCCTTGTTAGGAGCTAATGTAAGCTGCAAGCTAGGACTTGTTGTTTCTATACCTGTTAGCTTTTCCCTTGTATGTGGTGCTAGAAGCCTTACGTCTGGCGCCAGAGATATCTAGCAGATAGACCCCTTATGCTTTCCTTCCCACTACCTCCTCACATCCAAGCAGCCATTTCCCTCGTCGCAGACACAGGACATGCCGGCCAATGGAATCTGCTGAAAGTGTGAGGCACGAGACTCTCATGCACACATCCAGGGCAGCCGTGCTGGCTATCTCGGTGATACCAAGCTTCGTGGAGTTCTACTGGAAATTGACCGCGTTGGACTTCGAGGCCTGGAGGCTGGTATCGACCTTGTTGGGTGTAGAAGATTTGAGGTGAATTGGGACCTCGATGAGGGGAAAGCCTCGGTGGTGGGTTCTGAGCTTGTGGTATGACGAGACTAGGGGGTGGTTTGACTCCTCTTTGAGTGGAGAGACTTGAAGGTGACGGGCGATAGGGGGCTGAGAAAAGTTGGTTGGGATGAGTTAGGGTGTTGTAGTTCGGATGAACATGACTTTGGTGATGGGTAGAAGACAGGCGGTCTGCAGGAGGAATATACCTGCCTGTGGTGGTGGAAGACGAGGTGTTGAAGCTGTTTCCAGGTACTTTGCTGGAATTGCACGTCTGAGGATTTCGTGTGTACGAGGACCGGCTGACAGTTGTGTTGGCTATCGTAGTAAACATGTCATTTCTGGGCGCGCAAGACAAGACGTCATGGATGCTAATAGAAATGGCTCCAGTATCAAGGGGGCGCTTGTTCTTGACTGGGCTGTCGGGGCGTCTAAGGCTGCAGGAAGGCATTTTCTAGAATGTAGTGTGTTGTACGAAGTTGGTATTTGAATGTCTGTTGGAAAAAGATGTGTTGGATGAGACTCGAGGGGAGAATTATGATTCTTGTTGGAGTATAAGAGTGATGGGTTGAATGCTATGGAGGATTTGGCTTTATAGGCAGTACGCTGGCAGCTATGGAAGGTACCAATAACAACACATGAGATGGCTCCTTCTCATCAATTCTTAGCTGAACCGACCACGAGTTATGCTCGAGGCGAAGATAATGTGGTGGACCAATGATGAATGGCTATGATATGGTAATCCTACCAACCTCTTTCGGGGGTAGCCAATGACTGCGATAGTAAATGTTAGTCACGAAGCGTCATTTTGCGAGTACGGTCTGTTCAAGTCGCCAGATCCACGGTAGCAATGTTACACAAGGAGACTGCAAGATTTATTGCCGCATCTGATCGCGATCTAGTTGGGAACGGCTTCCTCATGGTACATTACAGTGGATATGATTGTTAGCGAGAGAGATTTTCCTTGGTGAATCGCGTGGACAAGGAAAGATTGCTCGAATGAGAACAGCGATAGGGAGAGTGGAGTGAACCTAAACAGTACGCAAAGGTGGGCCCCATGGTCACTGCTAGACGTCACATCACTGGCAGTGACCACTGCCTCTTTGCAGTCACGAACATCGCGGGGGGATTGTGGCCATTACATCGTTTAATCAACTTTGTTGGATCTCGCAAATTCGGTTTCGATGAGGCCTGAAGCAAGGGGGCATGGGGCAGATCACATTATGTTCATATGGTTTTAAATTCGCTGATTCGTTACCACTGCCTATCAATTTAGCGTTCCACATCTCTAAACTAACATATCCTATGGATGTTGAAATGACATCACTTTTCTTGTCCCCGAAGAGAGGACGGAAATCGACGCCCTCAGTCACAAAACTCATTACACTTCCTTGCCAAGTAAACATGCACGTCAGATTATAGCAAAGCGCAAGTCAAGTCAAGTCAAGTCAAGTGTTTTGAAGTTTGATTTGCATTTCATGTTAAAATAAGCTCGTCTGGAGTCCGCGAAACGAGAAGGTAAATTGGAGATCGTACCAAAACGCCGAAAAAAAAAGTGAAAGGCAATTGCCCCCTCACTCCCTCGCTTCCGTGATAAGCTGGTGGTTTCCAAACCGCCCATGATGCATGCCCCTAGATCCTGCGTGACGAATGTGAAAGAAACGCCGCCTAATCACGCGCCCAGTCCCGATATTCATTATAGAAGGCTGACGCAGTCGTGATTGAGATATGTCGTGTGAGTTTAGATGCGGTGACATGGTAACGTGGTGAGAGAAGCGTATGGATGTCTTGGTGTTCAAAGGTATCGGAAATCTGGTGCACGAGATCTGCGGTTGCGACCTCGAGGATTGACCGGTTGCCTGTCGTACGCATCATTAGGGTCTTGTTGTCCTTGTGCCTGCCCTAGCCCGTTGCCCCATTGCCCTTGTCCCTGTCCACCCCATCCGTACTGTTGCTGCTGGTTGTACTGCTGACCGAACTGTTGTTGATTGTAACCAAAATTTTGCTGAGGAAACCACTGTTGTTGTGGCATCTGTTGCTGCTGTTGCGGCTGGAAGCCCATCTGATAACCGTTATGGAATCCCATTTGCTGAGGCATCTGCATTGGCATAGGCATACCCATCGGCATTCCCATAGGCCCCATCGGTGCGTTCTTGAGCATCTCCATCTGTTGTATAAAGTCCTGCTCCATCTTCGAGGCGGGATCGGCCGCTTGGCGCATGGCTTTCGGTGCGGTGGGAGGCTTGATGTCTGTAGGAGGCTGCTTGCGCTTCTTTGAAGAGGTTGAGTCAGTATCGGATACTTCGTCAGCCGCAGCAGTCGCCGCCGCTGCTGGAGTAGCAGTAGCAGTAGCGGTGGCATTTGTATCGTCATTTGCGACAGAAGAAGATGCGTTGTCAGTAGCAAGTGATTGATTAACTGATTCATTTTCTGAAGCAACTGCTGCCTTTGCTGCCTTTTCCTTCTCTGCTGCCTTCTCTGCGTCGTATGCCTTGAGAGACTTGACCATATCGTCATCAGGAACGAGATCATCCATTAGAACATCCTCCTTTGCGCAGTTTGGACAAATCAGATCACCGTCTGCCAGCGCATTGTCGATGCACTCACGGCAGTATGTCTTACCACAACAAGGTGTCTTGACTGGGTCGACAAATCTTTGATTGTCGATGGGGCATTCGAATCCGCGCTCGCGGAGCTCTTTGCTTGCTGCGTCAGCGCTTGCTGCGCGCGCTCGTGATGCATTTGTCTTCTCTTGAAACTTGTCCCATGTCTTCTGGTCAGTCATGACTTGTACGTATTCGCCGTCGGCGTTGAGCATGACGCCCTTTGCAGCCTCTTCGTCGACAGGCTTCTCGACCTTCTTCAAGAACGACTGCGGTATGCCGGTGGTGCGCTTCGCTTGGAAAACAGGTTTGAAGTCGGGGTCGTCGTTCGTAGGGCAGGCCTGAATCCAGTGGCCTTTGATATTACAGCGGCGACATACGTAGCCTGGAGGGGGAGGATGTGAAGGGACTACGACGTTCTTGGTGTTGTTCTTGCGATAGACGGGTTTTGCATGTGAAAGTGCCTCCTTCTGCGCGTCCCAGGCCATCGCTGACTCAGCCAAGAACGCGGCCTCAGCATCTTCTGGTGTCGCATTGCTTGTGGGAGGTGCAGGCGCGACAGGCTTGCTTTGTGTAGTGAAGGCACGAACAGGGGGCTTGCCGTTGACATATCTGGCAGCTCGACCTTGTCCGCGAGGCGCTGGGCGGCGAATCGCTATGACGGTGGAGGATCGCGGTATTAATGTAGTGTCGTCCTTGTACTCGGAAGCAGGGTCATCTTGAGGGTAGATGTGTAGGTTGAAATCGGTTCCGTCGCCGAGGCCGCTCGCGCTGATAATCTCCTTCTTGAGCTCGAAAACACTCAAATCGGTGCCGTTGAATACTATACGCTCGCTGTCTTTTGAATTCTTGAATTTATAGAAGATCGATGAAGTCATGGTTGCGATTCGTGGTTTGGCTTCAAATGTGGTGGTGTGGTGAGAGAGTGTAGAGCTGACGGAGGAGGAAGGGTATCGGAAGCTGAGTTATGGCCCGCGGTGCGCACGGGCCACGTCACGTCGGAAGTCGATTAGTGCCCGCAAACCATCAATCCATGAATCCTACTAGACTAGATGGTCCTCTACCAAACTGGAGGCTAAAGGACCTCACGAAATTCTGTGAATTTGTGTCTACCTGAAAAACTCTCTGGGTAAATCCACGCATTGTTCTCAAAATATTTCATCAGCATGTTTGACCCATGGTATTTGTCATGCGACGAGCAGTTTCCAAGGCATTCTGGTAACTACCATTCTCATGGGTAACTCCAGATATGATTTCCAAGAGAGAAAGAACTTTACTGGCGTGTTTAATTCCAATCATTTGCCATGCATTGGCAACTTCTATGGTATTTGGTATCTACTCATCCGCAGCATCCGCCTCCAGCTCATCCGGCCCCATCTCTTCCCTCGCACCACCAGCATCACACTCGTGTATGATCTTCTTCCAACCCAGTGGCGCGGACGTGTCCTTGATGTGCTCGATGGTTGGGAAGTAGTGTTCATTCTTCTTCATGGTCGCGACCCATGGTACGTTGTCAAAGGTCATGACCTTCATACGGAAGTATTCATTGTCCTTGATCTTCTTAATTTCGGTGAGGAAGGCCGACAAGTTGGGAGTAGGGACGTTGTTCACGTGTGTGACGAAGTTGGTAGGCGCGAGCTGATGACATGGTCAGTGAGGTATTCTCAAGATAACTGATAGGTGGCAGGTCGCCACAAGCAAGGCCTAAAGGTATCCACCGGTTGCAAATCCACGGTCCGACGACAGAATACCATCCGAGCCACAGGATAAGTGCCGAGGGTCTAGAGCTATCCAAGTCAGGCCTAGGGGTATCCGCCTTCTGAAGTCCTCGGAGCCCACACCGAGCATGATGAGTAAGCAGACAGTAAATCCATGGTAAACCAAGTGGAGCCGGGGCATATTTGCTGGATGAACTTCCAGAATCCCAGAGCAGTGTCCAAGCCATACAGAAGTGGGCTTAATAAGCAAAAGAAAAAACTCCTAGTGTATCCATGGGAGGCCCGGTAATGTTCGCAGAGGGGGTGAGCAATTGTTTCTAGCGTCCAGCTTTCGGAGTCGCCCAGCTCACGGAAAGTGTTCAGAATGTGGATGTAAATCTCCGGTATCCAACGGCGTATCCAGGCTCCAGTGTGGAAAGAACGTGTGATAGAAAGAACAGAAAGAAAAAGAGATTAGCACTTACCCCGTACATGTATGCCGGTGAGCCACGAGCCCGCGACGAGATGTAAACATCCGAGTGAATTTTGCTGATCTGCTGGCGCACAGCCTGATGAGGGCGATGGAAAGTAGCACCACAGAAACTGATTAGGCGATCAGTCTCAAGGTCCTCTGTTGCGACAGTCGATACCTTGATAGTCTTCTCCTCACGCTTGCGCACAACAACAGCGTCCAGGAACTCGTTGTTGTACATGATGTCGAGGTCGGGTGAACGTGTGACCAGCTTGCCATTGAGCGTAAGGAGGACATCGCCTTCGTTGAGACCATCGCCGTGACCTGAATCGACCTTGCGGACCATGAAGAGCTGGTGGCGCTCTGGATCAGCCGTCTCAGTCTTCTCGATCCATTCCTCTGAGACACCCATGACACGGGCTTGACTCATCTGGACGGTCTGGAACTCGACGTTCAAGATACGTAGCTTGGGTGTGGTTCCGCTTCGGATCTCGTTGAGAACTGGCAGAAGGTTGGGCGTTGCAAGACCAAGATGGTATTCAACGTCTTTGCCACTGTGTGATGTCCGCTCACCTAGGTACGAGAGCCAGAGAGCCTGAACGGTGCCATCCTCAGCGATCAGCACGCCAGAACCACTATGTGAGGCTTGGTTCGTGTCTACCGTGATGGCGTCGAAGTTGGTCGCACGGTATCTAGGTGTGATTGCGCTAGCTGGAATCGCGACTGTAGTGATATCAGTGACGACAGTCTTTGCTACGACAGGTCGGAAGTTTTGGTTGATGCCAAAGAAGATGGTCTCTGCTCCTTTCTTGATGAAGTCGGTGGCGAACTTGGGTGTCTTTACAGGAGCGTTGACAAGAGAGGCATCGTACTTGACAATGGCATAGTTCTGCAATGGGTGCATGAAGACAACCTTGGCATCGACAAAGATGCTGTCAGCAATGATGAGCGAGATGTCGCAAAGGTCATATGGCAGAATCGCTCTCGAGACAAGGACAAGACCCTGTTCAGCATCGACAACGAGTCCATAGCCCTGTTTGTTCATCTTGGGGAAGCCATCTAGCTTAATAGGCATAGAGACATGCACTCGTACGAAGCTACGAACAATGTCTACAGCCTCAGGATAGCTTGAGCTCATCTTGACGAAGTTCGCACGGCGAGGAACAGGAGGCACAGATGGAATGGCATCGGCGAGTGGTTTGAAGTCCCACAAGCCTGTGGTGTCATTGCGTGTTGCTACCCGAATCTTTGCATGCCAATGCCTGTCCACAGCAGTAATACTAGTGTTCGCAGTATGCAGATCGCGCAGATGCTTGTACATCATAACCACTCGCTTACGGTCTGGGATCTTCTTCATGACTTCAATAAAGGTGTCAAGGTCTGGTGTCGGCTGGTTGTCAACTTCCTGAATCAACCACCCTGATGTGTAGCCGTCGGCGAACCTGAAGGAACCAGCTGCCTCGCAGACGTACACACCCGCGCCTTTCAGCGAGATGGCGTAGAGGCGAGCTTGTTGGTATGAGAGGTCGTGGAAAGACGCGCCTGCGACAGAAACAAACTTGTCAGGGGTGATGGCATGGAGATCGCCAACGTCTAGCTCAACATCCATGTTCTCCCCAGCACGCTGTATGGTCACAGAGATAGTCTTGCCAACGTTGTCGTCAAGAATGGCATCAAGTCGGACGAACTGTGTGAGCAACTCTCCGTTGACACGCAACAGAAGATCACCTTCTTCAACCTTGGCAGACGCAGGCCCTTGGGGTAGAACCACCTCAGCGACCAGCATGCCTGTCTCCTTGGGGAACTGAGTGCGGATCTCTTTCTCCAGGGCAGGAGAGAGACCTAGTCTCCGGCACTCGTCGAAGGGCTTCAGTATCCACTGGGTCTGGATGGTGCCTCTAGAGACATGCTGGCCTTGGCGGACAAGCTCGAGAGCGCGTAGCGGTCGGTCCAGGGGCAGGAAGTAGTCGGTCGCGGCACCATCAGCACGTCCACCGGCTTGCAGCGCAACTGCAAATCCGTCGCGGTCTACTACGGGACTGCCCGAAGATCCTCCACTCGCTGCAGCTGCAGCCTGAATGTAGTTGGTGTTGAAGTCGGAGTAGCCCTCGCCGTATTCGGGCGCATTGCGATCCAATCGACTGATAACTCCCGACAAGATACTGAGCTTCTCTCCGGCATCGTTACCCACGACGCGAATCTCGACGCCGACTTTGGCGTTGTCTGGGCGGAGCTTGAGGGCGGTGACGGGCATGTACTTGATCTTCTTGGGGTCGAAGCGGAGGATACCGAAGTCGTGGACGGGATCGCGGTAAACGGGGTGGACGTCGCATTCCTCGTGGTTATCGAAGATGCAGTAGCCGATGAAAGGTCCGGCGCCGACAACATGCCTGTTGGTGAGGATGTAGCCCTTCTCAGCATCCACGACAAAGCCAGTCGCCTCTGAGCTAATGGCCGGGTCTGTGTCAAACGAGCACGTCTGACAGAAGTGTATCGATACGACGCTCTTGACCACATTCTCTATAGTTCGTTGCCACTCTGCCGTGTCCTGTCCTGTGACGGCTGTGATATGCGCCGATGATGGAATCTCCTCGTGGGAGCTGTACTCGCTATGCGCATCGTCCATGGCCTCTTCCTGGTCGGGCGAGTGCGACATGACTCCGTTGGAGGTGTGTGCGTCTATTTCGGGCTTGATCTGCTTCACCGGACGGTCTGTTGCTGGTGACGTTGGTGGTTGCTTGCGCTTGGTTGTGCCATTTTGTTCCATTGGCGGCGGATTATTTATAGACGAGGACGTGTGTAGGGGGCGCTTGCCGAGAGCAAGTGCGCTAGGACTGTGAAGTCTCGTAGAATATCGCGTGTGAAGGAGGGAGAGCGGTCGGGAGACGGGCAACGGCAGGGTGCGTGAAGGTGTTGCAAGGAAACTTCGTTTGCAGGCGGCGAGAGACACTCGGCCAAGCAGCATGCCAACCCTGGGTGAGGCGTCTAAAGGAAGGAGGCAGCGCAAACGCAACTGCTGTAGATTAAAAGTAGTAGGCGCAAAGAAGAAAGGCAAAAGATGCAGTCGATGAGTATGCGATGGCTTTGAGGCCAAGAAGGAAAGTGCCTGAAGAGCCCTGCAGCTGCATGCGCCACGGTCCCCCGGTCAAGCTTCGCCGCATCTCGCGAACCATCGTCATTCGTCTCCACTCGCATCCACTCCATGGCAGCAGTGAATACATGCTCCGGTCATATCTCAAGCATGCCACACTGCGCGCCCTTTCCCAAAGCTCATGGGCTAAACTTTCATGTCGCGTCAAACACGGGAGATGAGCAAGATGGCACAGGTTCATTGCGACGCCTATCGAGTTGTGGTTCTCAGGCCGCTCAACGGCAGTATCTAAGTCCAGCCACATGAACAAAGCAAAGAAACCTTGGAAGAGACGGAGTTGAGCGCCTGATAGCTACATGAGAACGCCGAGCCGTTTCAGTATCCGCCCAATGTGCCACAATGCGACAGCACAACCAGCCGATGCAGGGCAAAGAGACAGATTCTTAGATCATCTCTTCATCCTTTACCTCGACAGCCTCATTCTTTTTCTTGCGTGGACGCGGGGTGGCCTTCTTCTTCGGTGAACCCTCAGCAGGATCGTCCTCGCCCTCAACCGTCTTGTTCTTGCGCTTCTTGGGCGTCGTCTTGGGTTTGTCCAGAGTGGCGCCAACTCCGTCACCGGCAGCAGGGCCCAAAGGGAGGCCATTCTTGATCTTCTCCATATCTTCTCCATGCTTCTCCTTCATACGGAGAATAAGCTTGCGGCAAGAGAGCGTGGTGCGGCCGGCGGGAACAGGGCAGGTCTGGGATATGTATAAGCGTGGTAAACCATCATCAGGTAACACTTACGTTGGTCTTGGACTCGAATTTTTCGGTGTCAGCTGCATGCTCGCAAAGAACCATGAGGTACGCGATCTGTATCACAGTCAGTGGCGGGCTTGGTAGAGACATAGGGCTTGTATGCAGCACAGTCGATCCAATCGGTGCCAAGTAGGAGCCCGGCAGTGAGCTCACTTTCATATCTCATACCTTTTCTTGTTCGGACCAGGCGCCGCCGCTTGATGCCGCCTTACTGGGTGTCTTCTGTTCTTCGTCTGACATTTTGACTGTGTATGCTGATATTGGGAGTACAGTCTCAAGGTTGCGTGGCAACAGAGAAAGCCGAGAGAAGAAGGGAAGCGGAGCTGTTGGTCAGACTGGTGAGTTAGAATTCACCTTCACATCGGGCTTTCGTCCATGCGCTTGCCCTGCTTGATGAGGAAGGTGAGCGATGAAACAACGGCATTTGCTTCTGAGCATGTTATTCACCACAGTGAGCCTCACCTTGTGTGCACTATCCGGGAGCCACCAACCCTTGAAAATGTGCATTACACAAGCCACGAGACCACATTGTTGGGTATATTGTTCTCTTTCCATCATCTTCATACTGAGTTTACGCTCTCTGAATAACCATAGAAACATCTGTCGTCATTACTCTGAAGACCCCGCGTCTTTCAGTCTTCGTTGGGCTTAGATGGAGGATAGCTGACGGCAATTTCACTGTCATCTTTCCTGTTACAACTGAACCGCCTAGATATTCATACGAACTTCCTTGATCTACTGCCTTTAACGGGTTCTTGGTTTTAGGAAAGTAGGAAGATGGTGTCGGCCTGTAGCGTAGTCATGTCGTCAGCCAATCCACTTGTAGCACTAGCCTAGCTCAAGCTTCGCCCCACAACCCACCTACTGCTCGTCTCTCCATCTTACATTACAGCTTTCACCTCACACGAAGTAAAAACACCATGCTCGAAATAGCCTGCTTCAACGCTTCTTCTGCCACCGTAGCAGCTCAAGCAGGCGCTGATCGGATTGAACTATGTGCCAACTACTCCGCTGGCGGGGTCACACCTTCCCACTCCACACTACAACACGTACGCAAGGAAGTCACGATTCCAATCAATGTCATGATTAGACCAAGAGCTGGCAACTTCAACTACTCAGACGAAGAGTTTACTCTTATGAAGAAAGACATGGAGGTGCTTAAGCCTCTAGCTAGCGGATTCGTCTTTGGCATTCTAGACGCCAATCGTCGTATAGACCAAACTCGCAACCGCGAATTGGTTGAAGCCGCAGCCCCGCTTCCATGCACGTTTCATCGTGCAGTCGATGAGGCCGAGGATTTGGAAGAAGCTGTTGAAACAGTGGTCAGCTGCGGGTTCAAGAGCCTGTTAACTAGTGGTGGGGCGAAGAGTGCCTTCCAAGGTGCTGATAAGCTCTATCAATTACATTCAAGGTTTGGAGCAGATCTGTCGCTAATAGCCGGTGGAGGGGTCAGAAGTACAAATATCGAGGAGCTCAAGAGGAGGACCCACCTAACATGGCTCCACTCAGCAGCCATCACAGCACCTGGAGAAGACGTGAATTGCCAGGAAGTCAGCAAGATGCAGAGAGAGTTATCAAAAGTGGCATGACAAAAAGCAAGAGTCCGATGTGAAGGGTAGGATATTATTCATTAATCGTGGCACATCAGTACTGGATTGCCACAGTACGTGTAAACATGCGTATGCTAAAGCTCCAGCGGGTATCATCCATTCAGGAATGCCTTGAATATAACTCCTAAGATCAATCCGTCCACCTAGTACACTGCGATGAGCATAGCTTCCAATAAATCAGCTGCTTACAAGAGCGCATATAGCAAGGCACCGACAACCGACATTCCGAAGGACCTTGTTGTGTCAACAGACATCTGTCCAGCTGCTCCGGTGCTTTGAGGTGCAGCTGAGGCAGTGTTTGTTTGAGTGACGACGTTGGTCTTTGCGGCGATCGTTGTGGCCTGGGTGATGGTGGTAGCGGGAACGGTGGTAGAGACCTTCACTCCGCTGACAGTGGCTACCTCAACGGTTTCCGCAACGGTGGTGGGTGCAGAGTATGTTACGGCTGGAATAGTGGTGGTATAGACGATGATGGATCCGAGTTCTGTGACTGGGATCGCTCCTCCAACACCAGTGCCGGTGTATTGGGCGGGAATTGAAAGGGTCGACGTGTTTGGCTTCTCAGCCTCGTTGTTGGAGTAGATGTTGGCACTCTGGCCATCCTTGGTGTAGTCTCCGCTGACGAGGTTGACTTCAGTACCTCCGGAGGTGTATGTTCCAGCAGCAACGTTTCCGAAAGAGCCGTCTGGGAATTGGAAGTTTGTGGTGAACTTGTCATAGCACATGGGGATGTTGATGTTCTGAACATTGACACAGTCCAAGCTTTGGCGGCAACCGAAGCCGTCCGCACGGCCATGAACAGATCGCTTGTCGAAAGTGATACCCTGGATAGAGGAGAGGATATCGGTATAGAGAGAGCTGAGCTCCGTGCCAACTGCTGGTGGGGTTGTGCCGGTCGCTCCTTGCGGTTGGCATGCCTCGTAAGGGTCGTCGCTAGTGGCCTTCGACATAGAGTCAAAAGGAGACGCAGTTGCGACAGCCGCAAGAGCGAGTGATAGGAACTTCAAAGACATTTTGGAGTAGGGTACTGTGTGGTATATTGTGGGTGGCGTTGGCGGTAGTAGATTACGGATACCGAACGGTGATTATAGGTATTACACGGTGTAGTACTGAACGACCGACGATTATCAAGACTGGTAACGAATGGCAAACGCAAGCGAGCGAATGTGAAAGCGAGTGACGGGAGGGTACGACGGATTGCTTGCCAAGGGGCAAAGGAGCAGCCTCGAGTCTATATACTGACTGTACAAGTAGCCCATATCGCTGGTGCTAACAGGGTTTAATCAGGTTCGTCTCTACCATGCCGAACTAGCCAACCGGCACCATGCGCTTTACTGACGGCGCGCCACAATACGATAGGACCTTTACCAACTGACTGGGATCCGTTATCCGTTGGGCGATCATGTGTTCATCCCCAACACCTTGCCCAGGGGCGGCCCTCGTATGGAGAGTCGCGAAGGATTGGCTGTCAAACACACGCGACCCGTACATGTGGCCCCCGCCAACAACAACAACACCATCGCGTTTAGCAGTTCTAGGAAGGTCGGCCGCGATGCCAGAATCTCTGCTCATGCGACCAGTCAAATCCCTTGGGCCTATGTTCACCGCTAGCCAGTAAACGAGGTCAAAGTCGCGTGATTCGACGGGAGATAAATCGGCAGACTCCAACCGAAGCGCTGCGAACGGACACTTCTTCATCCCTCAGGCAAGCCACGACACGGCCTCTAATTCGACATCACGAGAATTTTCCATTGCCGACACGCTTCCGTCTCTCCAGGTTTGGCCAAGTCTACCACGCCTACCCATCAACAAATAAAGAAAATGCGGGCTCAACGTCATACCGGCCGCGCCGAATCCACCTCGACAAACACTAAAAGCATGGCCCTGGTTGGTCCCTGACAGGCACACCCACAGAACTTGCGGCCACGCGCACGCTGCCGTCCCAAATTTCTCTGCAGCGCTAACACGCGATGGGTGTTGTACCATGATGATCATTCCCCTGAGCAGCGATAGCCTGGGTGACAAGACTTCGCGGACAGCTGGGCATTCGCTCGAGCCTTACCTTATTTTATCTTGCCCAGGTAAACCACCAAGCCTTTGTATCGTCATCCCAAGATGGTTATTCGGCTAACAAAGAGCACGATAAGAATAGCCATTTTTTCTTCACCGTCTAGATCGTGCACCATTGTTGGCATCGAAAGTCAATGAAATCCATGCACACACGAGGAAAAAGATTGCCAATTAGCAATTCGCGCAATAATAGTGTAATAATCCGCGGTTATTCGGCACTGGATTGGGTTTCTGACCGAGACTTGTGTGAGTCGCCAGTCGCACCAACCACGATTGCTATCATGAGTGCAGTGCGATACTATCCCGGACTAAGCAAAAAGGAACACCTCTATCATCGATTCATTCCCGGGCCGCTTCTGACTAGACACAATCTCGCGTGCGTTGTTCCTTCCTACGGTTTTACCCCACTATAACGCCAAGTTGTAAGCAAGGCTAGCTAATAATAGAGTTTTCTGGTGATCGACGCAGGAACAAGGCCTGCATACGCAACGTTGTGGTTGCATAAGGCACGCCGCCACAAGCATGGTTGTTCTTCATGTGTCTGGAGTCGCAGTGCAACCAACTGCGTAGATCTGGGCATCAAGATTTCCACTGTGGAGGCTGCGGATAGGCGCGCGCCGACACAACCCCAGAGGAATTTTCCAATGAAATTCGATACGAGGTAGGACCGATAGTGTTGGATCCGCTGTTATGCGATGCGACCGGAGGTGCAACCTGCATACGGTAGGGTGTACGTGCAGTAGCCGAACCACGTCGTGAACGACATCTAGAACTTCAAGGCCACTTTCTGTATTCCTGGGTCGACGAGTTCCTTTGCATCGTGTGTTGAAACTTACATTTCTTCTTTTTCTTCGCGTACAGCGACGCGACGCTGTGATGCTTGCGACATTGCGTCAGAGATGTCTGGCGCATGCGAGGATCGCGGCAAGACCGAAAATGATGTTATTACGATACAAGACCGATCGGACTCTTGATTTTGTCTGAAAAGCATATGAAATCGCGCAGACGACAGACTCTCTTCGGCCAAACCACCCTCTGCTAGATTCTCAACGGCGATGAGTGAGATAAGCTGACTACCAAGAACTATTCTGAAGTATATATTAGATTCGACATTTGTGAGGCGCTCCGAATGGGAGAAGAGTCCTGGTCATATGCCCAGCATACCTCAGGGAGCCAAGAACAAAATAGGGTTCTGTTTGAGCGGACAGGGTACGGTTGACAAAGTCGAACGAAAAATCATTCTCGACAGTTTACCGGCGATGCATCCATATCAGTTTTCCAAGGCCGCTATACCCCATCTTTTGTCTACTTTGAGGTCAAGCGATCTACCGCCAGCGAGACACATACGCGCCGATCCGCTAGAACCCTTCAATTATTACGACCAAGAGGCGACTGTCGAACAAGAGCTTCCAGTATGTCGATATGCTGTTCTGTCCTTCGCAGTTCATCAACACTGTGTGTGTACATCTTCGAGCTTCAAGAAGGTAGGACACTGTTGGTATTGCTTCTATCTGGCGCGGATGCATGTACAGCCAGCGCCCCGGGCTCACATTGTTTAGCCGTCAAGCTCCTCGCAGAACACTTCAAGTTCTAAATCTCTTAGCCTTTCTTCGTAACCTTACGCTCCAAATCTGTCATGAACTTGCTCATCCCATTCTAGGAAACACATGTGCCTGAGTATGGAAGATAAGACCTGTGGATAGAGGAACATCGTCACGATTCGCGTTTGTGACGATGCGATCGCGAGCCTGCTAGGGCAGATAGACAACGTAGAATTCAAGTCGAAACACATTCTGCATCTTCTCTGTATGTTTTCGCATTGGTACCGACTAAGAAGGTGTAGGCAATTTCGCCGCATAGCCGCGCCGGAATTGGTGCTCATCGTAGAAACATCCCCCAATATACCTTCACTCCGGGCTGTTGTTGTATGCCTAGAAGGCGTCTACTGGCAATTTTGAGCCAGCACAAAGGACTCACATTTTTCAAGAGAAGCAATGGTTTGACGCGGTTACTTCTAAGGGCCTATCTTGAACCACTTCCTACACTCTTGGCTCCAGTTGCAATCGATGGGCTCACCATCCGGGTTTTGTTCAGCGGCTTCGAACAACGAATCGAACCCTTATCGAAACGCGTTCTAAGTATTATCCAGATTTAGAGACCTGCAGTTTCTGCGCCACAACAGGAGTCGATGCACCAACTTGATTATTGGTTGGGTGTATGCAACAATGGTATCCGATGGAGAAAGTCATGTGCTGTTCGACAGGTCAAAAATAACGGCACTTCTTGTATCTTTCTCTGGAAAGGGGAAACCCTCCTTGCGCCGCAAATATAGCTTTCGATGCATTTGGATATGCATCTGGTATAAGTGTCATGGTTAGACCACCTGTACATGATTCGGGTGGCTGTGTGAAAGCGCTTGGCGTTACCTCTCGATTATCCAACGTTCAGTTCGATGTGACGCGTGTGTTCCCGTTGGAGGCTTCCAAGTTTATTGTGCGATTTCACTGCTCGTCTTTATATAGAAAAAAAGGCGCCAACCCTCAGTGTTCGTTCTGTGATATAGCCGGCTATCATGGCGGGTCCTGCTCTTCTCAGGGTGCATCTCCAAGTGCGCTTGACCATCCTTACCCTCCATCACTGACTTGTCTCTTTACATTATGTCGTCATCGAAGTCCATCTCTCATCGTAATTTGGAGAAGAAGACACGTTGTGAAGAGGGCGCAATCGCTGTCATGCGGCTAATACCGCAAGCCCGGAGAAGTCGGCGATTCCAATCAAACTTCCACAATCCCGAAAGAGATCGAAATGCGACATGCGTAAGCAGTTGCGTCAGAGCCTCAGGTACCTGCATAGTAGACGCCAGGCAACAACATTTGAGAACGCCTCGAACGTGTTTCTCGCGTTTTGTCGACTAGCCGGTGATATCAGAAACGGTTGAAACCTGCTGCGCCACTTCTGTGGGCGCAGCCCTAAGCCCAATCTGGTATTGCTTGCGAGAAAAACTAGCCACTACAATGACCCCTTCCTGCGATGCGCATCTCGGTGAGCTAGAATAACCGACTCGGACTGCCATGTCATCCCTCGTCCGGTTTCAGAATGCAGTTTACAATCTTGTCGTTGTCTCCCTGTCCTTCCTATAGGTCAGTTCCTATACGCTAGATACACGCTCGGTGGTCCGATCGCGAATTCCTTCCTTAGCGAGTGTTGTTTGCACAATCGTCCCCACGGATTGTCCGCCCTACGTCAACGTCAATTTTCTTGTGCTTACCATCGCGTGCCTCGGTTTAAGGGAGCTCACGTTTCCGTTGATATACAGGGCTTGTCAGACATTGGCGAGCTGAAGCTTTTCGCTAGGATTAAGCGGTAACGTAGGCTTGATGGTAGTCGTAGGCTTCAGAGGCGGAGTTGCCTGATATCCGATTAGGAATATTGTTGTTTACTGGCAGAGTCTTTATAGTCATCAGCTAAGGGCTAGAATTGCCAGACAGGTGTTGTCTTCGGGCCTGGAGTTCAAAACGCCGCCTCATTGTCTTCATTCACTCCTTGGATTACATTTATATCACAATGGTTTACACCGGAAAGCCGAGCAGGGGATGTGGCATGTGTAAGAGCCGAAGAATCAAGGTATGTCTTGGTACCTCGCGACAATTACTCCTTCCTCTTGATTAGCGATGTCGCCTCCATGCATATCCGGATGCGCTTACTGACTATGCATAGTGCGACGAGAAGCGACCAACATGTGGCAATTGCAAGAAGTCGGCTCGAACATGTCCCGGTTATCCCGACGACTTCGATTTGGTCTTTCGAGATGAAAACAAAGCTATGGCCAAGAAGGCAAGGAAATCCTCTGGAACGACAGCATCAAGCAACAGCACCGGCGCGTCAAGTTCCAACCCTTCTCCGCATCTGTATGTACTACGCTATTTTGTCTATCCCGTCCCGCTGCATACCTTTGACGGATACCGACAAGCTTTGCCGAGCTATGGGTACACTAGTCGTGGTATATGGTCTGTGGGTATTTGCATGTGATAGACCCAAGCCGCAGATCCACATTGCCCTTGTAAACCTCTACTAACGTCCCAGGTCACCTTCTTCGACGTTTGATGTATCGCCAGGAGAAAACGGAGTACCAGGAGAGAAGGCCTTCCAGATAATAACATCACGATCACATTCTCCATCAGACTTAAGCCAATCACAACAGATACTGGCCTTACCCAATTACACAACACCACCATTACCTCTTAATCAGGCGTTTGATTTCGAAGCGTTTGTGTGGAATCTCGAAAATGCAGTGCCCCCAACTATCTCACTTGCGCCAGAAGCTGAAGCCGTACCCTTCTTCTTCAAGAACTTCATTACCCTACCACAACAAGCCGAAAGCACCAGAGGCTATCTAGAGTATCTCGTGCCTCTCTACAATCGTGCTCGCCCATCCTCCGTTCTTCACCTAGCCACTACTGCTGTTGCAATGGCAACATGCGGCCAGTATCCTGGCCGACAAGAGCTACTCCGGGAAGCAGTATCTACCTATGGCAAAGCTATCAAGAAACTGAATGACGATCTGAAAGATCCAGTGATGGCGAAGAGCGATGAAAGTGTGCTTGCCATTCTTATGTTTTCACTGTACGAGGTAAGTAAATCAGTCACTTCTCGCAGGCCTTCAACCAGTTGTGCGACATGTTTCTGAAGCTAACAAATGCCAGACAATAATGAGCACAGACGATACTATCACAGCGTGGGGAAACCATGTCGACGGTGCTGTCGCGTTGACAAAGTTAAGAGGCATGGATCAGTTCAATGACCCAATCTCTCATGCCATGTTCCGCGCTGTACGGACGATGATGGTAATGATGACCATGCCACAAACTGCATCTCGAAAGCTAATGAAGATCAGATCACAAGCTGCGTTCAACGCTCGAAGCCTATCGACTCGTTCCCTGGCGCGGGAGGCTGGGTTGGTAAAGGCGACATATCAGAGGAAAATGCTGCTAACCGCCTGACACTCATCTGTATCGACCTTCCAAACCTCCGTGCTCGCGCAAACACCCTCACCACCACACCATATGATCTGGCCTACGAATCAGAAGCGAAGCAAATTCTCGAGTTCGCACAAATGGTCGACGACAACCTCGAAGAGTGGTACCGTACACTACCCCCCGAATGGAAACATCGTATCATTGGTGTCGTTAGCGAAAGACTTGCCCCTGAGGATATTGCGCTGGCGGAAAAATGGCCAGGAGAACAGCATGTATATCATGACGTGCCATTGGCGAGTATAATGAACGACTACCGTGTATGCCGGATATTCTGTCGGAGAGTAATCATGGCATGTGTGACATGGCTGAGTTTCAGTGGTAACTATGCAGATGGCGACGAGGCATGGAATAAGAGTGTGTTTGTCATCCAGATGATGGTGGACGAGATCAGTGCGTGTATACCGTTCCATATGAGCTACGAACTACAACCAATGGCCAAGGAGATGGGCCAGGAGCAGAATGGTAAGTGATGGTAGTTTTGACAGGAGACTGGGAGTGTGCTAACCGCTATATAGCTGCGGAGGCCTATGGAGGGTACTCATTAGTGTGGCCGCTGTACGTTGCAGCAAACGCTGAGACGGTACCGCAACAACAGCGTGACTGGTTGCTAGGTCGACTATCAGTCATTGGCACCAAGTTTGGGCTGAGTAGTGCTCAGGTGCTGGTATTAGCACGGAGACATGTTCTGACATGTGGGCCTATGTTTCCTTGACGCGAATCGACGCGTGTTACTAGACATGTAATAATATTGAGGGAAGAAGTTGTTTCGAGTTCGCGGTAGGCAACATCGCACGTGTATTATATATAGCTTTGGTGGTCACGGGACATGGCATTTCGGTCAGAATCCAATACGAAGCAAATGTACCGCTCGGGGGATAATCATCCACATGGAGCAAGTGCTCTTGCGACCCACCGGTTCGACGCGGATGATCAATGTGGAGAACCCCGTCTTGTCACGCGTCAGGCATCCCGAGCAGGACCCTCGTTAACAAGGCATCATCAGCACCTTTCACATGGCAAGCTCCAGCGGCGCCGCTCACATGTCGCAATCATTGATCGAAGAATCGCCCGCGGCGATCAGCTGCGGCCCGTTTCCGTGCCAAGCCTGACCCTCCAATTCCTGTTCGGGGTTTCATCTGCTCAGCCACGGCATCCAGAACGACGGCCAACTGTGGGTCCTCAGCCCTTCAACAATTTGCGAAGCTTGTGAAAGATTTCTTTTTCTACGTCTACTTGTATCGCACCATCCTCTGCCTCATTCACACACGCACTCAGCCTCCGCAAGGTTTACCCCGCCACCACGCACGTCAGCACAACACCAGCCTCACTCACTACGTCACCACCACCACAACCATGGGCGCAACAAACCTCATTCCGCTTGTGATCCTCTTTGCGGTCGTTGGAGGCTTGGGATGGGTGGGCTATCAGGTAACACAACTCCTCTGTAGTTTGCGCATTGTATCGCTAACATGTGTGTCTCTCAGATCTTCCTCTACTCCAATGAGCTCGCTGAACGCGGCGTCAAGAAGATGGAAAAGAAGAACGTCGTCTTCACGAAAGACGGCGCAAAGGTCGGAGTTAAGGAGGTTAGCAACGAGACGTATGCGGATAAGACACAACGCGCTTTTGTCAAGACGTGGAACGCCGCGCATGACGGGTGGGTGGTTGATGATTGAATACAACGCGCAAGTGCACTACTGACTATGTCGAAGGGGATCCCCGGTTGCACGCAAACCTACGAGATAATCACAACTTCATGTGCGACCCGAGTCCAGACCGACATTTCTTTTCGATGATACCTTTTTCCTTTGTCATGCGCCATCCCATATCGCAGCTTGTTTCGCACCAAGTGTCGGTAGGCGTGAGGATGGTTAGCAGTTTGTATTGAAAGGCGTTGGGACGGCTTATATCACAATAACATGTACGAGCGTTGACGCGTGTGGTAGCACGCAGTGTACCCACTTCTCATCTGCGGCCTTTCTAGGCAGGAGAATGAAGAGACGATTCTTTATTGGATTCCATCAATGCGGTATGCATCTATTCTATTGCCAACTGATCGCATGACAGCCTTTGCTATGGCCAGACGTCAATGCACCTGTTGGTCCACTTCTGCACACGATGTCACACGCAATCAAAAGAGACAAGGTTTACACCCTACAAGTAACAGAATGATGTAACTTCGCAGGGCGGCAAACCATCACGACGGGTCTGTTGAACCCCACTCCATGTACTCTACGGGTGTTACCATCCGTATTATGTGAAAGACGCTCATCCAATACCTGAACTCGCGACGGATCTGGAAGCCAAGTTCCAAGGCAATAGAAGAAATGGAGCAGAGAGACGACATCAAACACAGGGAAGAGCTTGGGAGGCAACGCAGAGAAAACAAGGCTACGCATCGAAGAGACGGGGTACGTGGGTAGTCAACTACTCCTCGGCCGAGATGATTGCGCATTGTATGAGGGGCAACTGGAGTCTAAATGTGCTGATCTATTGTCGATTCGTGCTAGCTTGTCCCTGGGACAAGCAATGTCTGGAGCTTAGTGCCGCGGACCATCCGACGCTCCGTCGAGCCGCATACTGCTTTAACGTTTGCGTTGCATCAATCATGAATATCTTTAACGCATGCGTGATGTTATGGCGATCTCTAGGTTGGCGAGTCAGGTGGTTCTGTTGCTATATTATACCTCCATGCCATACCTACTCTTGACGAATTCACCAGATTGACACATTCTACTTCAAGTTGTGGCCATTCTTCCCCCTAGCCATGACGTTCTTAGCGAGTATATTGCCCGCAGACTCTGAGCTTTTCAGCTTCAAAGGCGCTGTCTTTTGGTTTGCAGTGTTTTCAGCATTGGTGAGTACAAGCTCCACGTTTCTTATCTTGCTGTCACTTCCGGTCTATCCTTTACAGTCTCCTCAATGTTCCCACATTGTTAGATCAACCGGAGCTCAAAGCGAAACATTAATTGTGCCGAACTATGGGCATCGACTGACATCGAATAGGCCACCGTCTATGCTGTTTATTCAGTTATATACAATGTTTTCTTCCACCCTCTCAAGCACATCCCCGGTCCATTCTTCGCACGCGCGTGCGGTATTCCCTGTGCTCTACATATGTTTGACGGCAGTTCGGTCCAATGGGTAAAAGAGTGCCATGATAAGTACGGCGATGCGGTTCGTGTGACCCCAAGTGAAGTCAGCTTCATCTCAGGAGAAACTGCTTGGCAAAGCATATACGGCTTCCGTGTAGGCAAGAGCAAGAACACCGGATATTACCTCAAGGACAGGAATTGGTAGTGAGTTAAGTCTTTTCGAAGACGCGAGCAAAAGATGCTGATTAGAAAACAGCTTAGCACCTACCAACGGCGTTGAGTCAATCATCATAGCAGATGAAGCAGGACACTCGAGAATGCGACGTAACCTCGCACACGCTTTCAGTGACAAAGCCCTACGAGGACAAGAGAGTCTCATTCAGTCTTATGTCGATCTTCTCGTTCAGCGCATGGGCGAACACGCCGCTCAAGGCAAAGACATGGATATCATGACCTGGTACAGTGAGTAACCTATGGCTTATGGTGTGCTTCGCATTTCGACTGATCATATGTGCAAAAGACTATGCAACTTTCGATATTATATCCGATCTCACCTTCGGCGAACCACTCTACTGCCTGCGCGATTCCGTCAAACACAGCTGGGTTTCCATCACCTTCAAGTCCATAACGGCCACCGGTTTGAACGCTGCTCGCAATAAACATTTCATCTTCAGGTGGTCCAACTCCCTGCGCAGCATTTTCCAAGACAACTCAGTTGCTGCGCGCGCACGACTCGAGTTTTTTGAGCGCGCCCGCGATCAGGTCAGCAAGCGACTAGCGAAGCTTGACAGCGAGAAAGGCGTGGAAAAACCAGACTTCTTCACCCACATAGTGAACAACCAAGAGAAGGAAGCAACAAGAATGACCAGAGACGAAATGGACAGCAATGCAGTCACCTTTCTCGTTGCAGGTAGCGAAACCACTGCTACAACATTGTCGGGCGCTACCCATTTCCTCCTCCGTAACCCCTCTGCGTATACTAAACTCGCTGCCGAAATCCGCTCTCGTTTTTCTTCTCCTGACGAGATCACTATGGAAGAAGTCAACAAGCTCGAATACCTCATCGCCGTCTTCCAGGAAACTCTACGACTTTATCCACCCGTTGCCACAGGCTTTCCTCGTGTTGTACCAGTGGGGGGCGACAATATCTCAGGCCACTATATCCCTGGCGGCACTTCGGTATACTGTTCCCAACACGCGATGTATCATTCTGAGCGCAATTTCAAGGACCCAGAGCTCTTCGTTCCGGAACGCTGGTTAGGCGAGGAACGGTACAAGGATGATAAGAGGTCGACGCTGAATCCGTTTAGCTTTGGACCAAGGAACTGTTTGGGCAAGAAGTACGTATACTTTTTCTTTTCTTCTCGCCTTCCTTCTTGTCTAGCAACAATCACATCTTCACCTGCTTGCTCAGTCAGGGAAGACAAAGACAATCATAGACTGACATTATCGTTTTTTAGTCTGGCATACGCGGAAATGCGTCTCATCCTCGCTAAGATCGTCTTCGCTTTCGACCTCGAACTCGTAGAGAAAGAGAGGGATTGGATGGGTGAGCAGAAGGTTTTCACGCTCTGGGATAAAAGCGCGTTGATGGTCAAAATAAAGCCCGTACAGCGTTAGTGAAGTATGGTGTTGTATTGAGGGTGATTAGCTTATACAAAAGCAGGTATCTTGGGTTGTGCAACGGCGCGAAGGTAGCATTATATAGAAAGAATTTTTCATCCAGGTTAGAGCAGAGTAGGGATGGCTGATGATTATGTCCACATTGGTCCGCCATCGACAGACTCGTAAGTCGCGAACTCACCGCGGGTAGGATGATGATCGGCCACGTCGTTTTCAATTGTACGATCCAGAAGAAGGTACCGGCCCGAAGCCAATCTGCACTAGTTGATGGGCTAAGAGTTTGGGGTATGTACAAGGAAGTTCGTGTTTTATGAGTTGTACCTAGTCACACCGCACCCCAAAGATACACGCTGTGTCTACACTGAGAAAGTAGAAAATATAGCACGCTGTATGTTTCGAGGAGATAATTTGAGCATTTGGTAAACTGGTCGAAATGAGCTCCTTCGTAAGTTTCACGCGTTGTTTGTAAGCGCCGTGGCGCAAGGCTGATGATATTGCTCAAGCACGTCCGCTTCCTCACGAACCCTGGTTGGTCAACCCGACACACACGGGATAGAGCTCTTATCATGCGGCGATCCCCCAGCCTTGAGGTTTCGCAGCTTCCTGTGCTGACCGAAGGAACTGTCATTGGGTCTGTACGATATGATCCACCCATGGGCATAGAAAAGAAAGCGGGTGCGAAGTATCTGATCACGTATCTAAGCATTCTCATTGTCCAAGACTACTCACTGCATCAGCCCTCTCTATTGACGGATAGACAACAGGTTCGGTATTGTTGTAAAGCACTTCGGCATGTAGGCTGGCTAGCCTTGATGCCAGCCATGCCGCAAAAAGCTGACCACCCACATCTTGCTCATCCTGGTCGAGAAAGAAGCATCCTGCACTGGAGTCCAATCATTCCCATCAAAGCTGCATCAGCAGCTTTCGGGTTGTAGCCATGTTTTACCGAATACGGAGTGGCGTTCCAGGCGGGACACTGTTCTGACAACGTATTAGAACTTTACTGTAGAAGCTCGTACTCATTGCTTGCGATCTCGTTGTTTTTGGACTAGAATCATGTTTGGAATTACGTAGGTAGGGTACGAGGATAATCTCACTGCTGCCCGGGTCTTCTACAAGCACGAACACATCCAACGAGTCATCCTGAAGATGAGTGAAGTAGTGATATCAGGCTGAGAAGCTTAGAATAACAAGAATCGAAAGTGCTTGTGCGCCTACACTAATACAGCCACTTCTTGCTTTGAGCGAGTGCAATCTCAGCCCGACGCATTCGCTATATAACTTGTTCGCCCCATATTCGGAATCAGAGCGCGGAGCCCAAATCTTCAGCGCATCCTCATGTCTGACAGTTACAAGCAACCACCTCCAGTCATGGAACGTCTAGTGGCAGGCGAGGCCAGCGGAATGTCTGTATACGACCGCAAGCTAAAAGATTTCCTGCTAGGAAACAACGACGAGCCACAAGACAGGATTGCCAGGCAAGGAGCACCCAGCCATCGCGCCCAATACCGAGGCCAGGATCTCTGGAAGAGGTACTTCAACCATCCCAGCGTCAAGCAAGCCAAACGGGTTCAGCGGGCTACGAAATCTTTCAGCTACGAGGGCCTAAATCTCAAAGAAAACCACCAGCAAATTAGGCTCCTACGTATCCATCCACAGCGCGTGGAGAATTTCGATGAAACCGTGGTATGCGACCTATATGTCGTGGATTTGGCTCGAGTGAAAAACAAATTCGAAGCTCTGTCGTATTGTTGGGGCGACAGTCAAGCTGATCAGATTATCTCCATTCATCGCGCTACGGTTGACGAGATGGGCCAACTTCATTGTGGACCGGCTCAGGAATTTCCCGTCCGGTCCAATCTGCATCAAGCTTTGAAGCACCTGCGCCACACCACACAATTTGTCAGTCTCTGGGTGGATGCTATATGCATAGATCAAAGGGATAGGCCATATGCAGCTGCGGAGAAGAACAGGCAATTGTCCATGATGAGTGAGATCTATAACTGCGCTAAGAACGTATGCATATGGCTTGGGGATCCCGATGAGCAATCAAGCAAAGCTCTCAGCTTCGTCCACAAAATCAGCAACTTCGAAGAGCTCGAAGCATGCCTTCGTATTGTTGATGAAGCCACAACAGGACAGTGGATGAACCTCGTTGAAACCCTAAAGAAAACGCAGTGGTTCAGTCGTCGTTGGATAATCCAAGAAATTGCATCAGCACGAAGCGCTTCGGTTCACTGCGGACACAACGTAGTGCACTGGGATGATCTCGCGGTCGCTATATCGATTCTGGAGGAAAATCAAGCAATGATCGAGCGCGCCTTCAGCCCAAAGCCCATATTTGCGCAGATATCAAATTTGAGTGCAACTCAACTGGTCAAGTCGCTTACACACGTCTACCGGAAATTTTCTACAGGAGAAATCGCTGAAAAGCTCCTTGATCTTGAGACACTTGTTTGCACATTCCAACAATCTCAAGCTAGGTTTCCCGAGGACGTTATCCATTCAGTACGGGCACTCGCGCACGATTCACCTGGGTTAGAAGACTTTGAATTCAGCGCAAACAACGACAAAGGCACACCAGGGCTGTTCATTGCATTCGTGCATCGTTGCATTGAGAGATCAAGATCTCGAGATATCATCTGTCGGCATTGGGCTCCACCAGTGACTGACACTTCACGCGAAAGAGTTCAACTACCTTCCTGGATATCAGACCTTACTAATGCTCCTTTTGGTTTGCCAGGCACGTCTCACGAGAGACAGAATGGTGAAAATTTCGTTGCTATTTCCCCACATCGAAGATGGAAGCAGTATAATGCCTCAGGAACTTGGAACCCTAATCTAGACGAATATCTCAGCCAAAAGGATTCACAAGTACGAGTTCCAAGCGCGCAAACACGGTGGTCAACGGGTAATGTTCCTATGCCTAGTATCTCATCTAAGGTCAACGGCGCACACGCGCACGGAGATACCAGCTCCCCGTCCTTACCGACAGCGAGATTCCAGAATCCACCAAACGTCGACGCTCTTGATGAGCTCTCATTACGTGATGCTGTTCAAGAGCCTAGCCCCAGATCGACCGACAGTCTTAACTTCACGTCTACAAACGGGGAAGTCACATCAGTCCCGGCCTCTCCGACGAAGGGCCACAAGCGCTCTATTACTGCGCCTGCGATCTCAGCAAAGAAGGAGATAAACAAGACCAACGACTGGAACTCAATTCTCTCAGCCTTTACCAAGCCTAATGGACTCAATACTATCAAAGAACTGGCCGATCCCGCACGCCCACTTAATCATCAAAACTCGAGATCTTTGCAAGGGCTTTACATACAAGAGGGCAAGGAGCAAGTGCATCATATGGAGCACGCTGATTACCTAAGTGTTCCAGGATTCATTTTGGGTACTATTGAGAAAAAATCTGACACAATGCGAGAGGGGGTCATACCGGGCGACTGGATAGCGATGCTGAGAGGAGACAAGAAGAATGTCATTCCCGATAGTTTATGGAGAACACTGGTTGCTGATCGGACTGAGAATGGAAACAACCTCCCGGAATGGTATAAACGAGCATGTCTCCATTGCCTTGAAGACTCGCGTTTCGTCAATAGCCAAGGCGATTTGAACACCAACAGATCACTTTCGGATACTCCGCTGGACACCATGACCTCGAAATATCTGGAGAGGGCCAAGAGCGTCATCTGGAGGCGCCGCTTCATACAGTTGAAATTGGGAGCAGCGTTTGGGGATGATCTGGTGTACGGGCTAGCCCCCGAAAGGTGCAAGAAAGGCGACGTCGTATGCATCATCGGTGGTTGTTCGGTACCTGTGGTTCTCAGGAAGATTGAGGACCTGGAAGTGTGTGGCTCGTTTGAAGCCGCTGGCGTATTCACACTGATTGGTGAAACTTACATTCACCAGAAGATGAATGGGGAAGCTGTGCAAGATCTGGGGCGCGTCAAGAAGCTTCAGAACACTTTCGTGTTGAAATGAACCAAACACACATGACAGCCCGTGCTACGGATGTCTAGAGTTGTTCCAGAAACTTATTGCTCCTATGTGACCTAAAAGGGTGAAGAGAACCTTGGAAACTTTGTTGCGCTTGCAGTTCATCAGGCACCTAGAACAACGCAGTGCATATAAGTTGCCGATAGTCATTAGGAGGCTAACTGTAGCTTCCGACGTAACGAAATTTGCGAGATAGGTAAAATATTTAGAGGAAGCACATGGGCATCGAGCATACCTACCGAAGATCGTGGGCGAACGCCCTCACGCCAGGGGTCACATTACCGATCTCAACGCTTTATTGACAGGCGACAACCAACCAAGCACACAAACACAGCGCACTTTCCGAGATGTAGTGACTCTCACGATATTTGTGACCAACGAAATCCTCTGCTACCACCCCATAGAAAGTAGGCTTATACATACATTCATCTCCCACACATATCACAGTGGGGTAAGACGAAAGTGGGTGACCCAAGGCTGAGATACAACCGTGCAGGCTGCCAAATGGATCAGCATGGCTGGCTACATGCAGCTCTAGTGCGCCAACCCTTAGCCAGAAACAGCGATACCGCCCGATCATAGACAAGAGATGGTGTGGTCGGGCATCTACAATAACCGAGGCATCTAACCAGGTTCTATTATGTTTGGCGGGATACAACTGGAGTGCCGACGGCCTTTAGTTGCTTGTTTGTATTCTGTCCACTTCAGTTGTCTCAGGAATGTCCGCTGCGTACCCAAGGTCAGAGGCTGAGAGTCCTGCGGCAAAAGACGTAGAAAAAACCCTACAGAAGGCTGAAGCTGACATCGGGATCGGAAACCACGTAAATGGGTTTTGGTTAGCACAAGAAGCTATAGCACTTGCTGAAGGCTGCATTGAGTGGGATATTGGCGATGTTGTTTCAACACAGCAGTTGGTCGTCGCAATGCTAAGAAGGTACAACCTGTTCAAGGAGGCTGAACAGATAGAGGCAGAAATGGAGTTGACTCTCGAAGAACTTAGCGATGAAGAGACGAGAAAAATGATACAAGACGAAATGAACGTACACAAGAGGCAAACACCAAACGGCCTGGAGGCGCTTGATCAACCGATTCGTTCAGGTCACTCGCAACGACACTCACCCCCACAACCATCGTCAAATACTGAAAACCCTAGCCATACGTCAAGTACAAAGAAAGTTATTACTGGCGTCGAGTATGGCTTGGTGTCACGGACGTGCCCTGATCAGCCTGTTCGAAGCATGGATGATGCGGAAGAATCTAGCCTGGGAGATCATTCGATCAAAAAACCTCATGCGCCGACCCCAAACGATCAATTTGGCACTCGTTAATGGACTTCGAGTGTCCAATCCCTTTCGGTCCTGGACTCATCGTTAACGGACTGCTCAGAAAATTTGCGACAGAGGACACTATTGGGGGCTATATTCTACTCAATAGCACAGCTCGTAGCGATGAGCAAGCATCATTATTGGCTACAACGTCAATCTGCGGCAACAGGAGCAGTAATGAAGGGTATCACATGTCATTTGCAATCTAACATCCTCACTAATTATGCCCCTATCCCCCACTGAAATGCTGAACTTTTGCTTATCCTTGTCCAAAACGCCATGAAAATGCATACACAACACCCACTACAGCCCATCGTCTCCAGATACGAATTCAGCCTACCAACCCCTACGCTTTCCTCTCTCCTCAGCACTCCTCTCCTTCCGCTTCACTCTCTTAACATCATGTCTCCGCCTCTTCTCCTTACCAACCTTTTCTGGATCCAACACAGCGTCGACCTTCCTCTTTCTCCTCCTCTCTTCGCGCCTCTCGCGGACGCCTCTCTGCACTTCAGCCATGACATTCAGATACTCTTGCGTACCGAGACGTTTCTGCAATGTGTTCATAACCTCGCGTGCCTTGTCGGCGAGAGATTTGTACGGGTCGTTGGGCGCGTTATTGGAGACGAGGGCAGCGGAGGACTTGGGGAAAGTCGCAGTGGCGTCGGTGAGTGTTGACAGAGTAGTAAGAAGATGTGGGAGGGATGTAGATAGAGGTTCGAGAGGGAACTTGGCAGCGATAGTGTCGAAAAGGTTCATGATGGCCGTCTTCGCGTTCATGGTGCTCTTGTCTTTGCGGACGATACCCGAGAGCCGGATCATCAGGCGGTGGATGGCTGCTGGTGGAGCATCTTCCGTCTTCTTGGGTTTTGCGGTCTCGGGTGGAGGTGAGAAGCCGCCAAAATCTTCCTCATCGTCTGTGGCCGCTGTATCACCGTTCGTTGGAGCCACAGTCTCTCCTCCTTCTTCATCGTCATCTGTCTTTTGCCAATGCCACTTAGCGCCGTTGACAGCAAGGCATCGGGCCAGGAAAGCGATGTTCTTCACACTCTGCATGCAGAGCTGTTCTGAGACTTCCGGGTTGAGCAGGTTTCTTAGGAAGGCATTGCAGAGCTGTGTCATGCTCTGTTCCGCTAGCTGCAAACCGCCTGATCCTTCGAGGGGCAACGCCTCGAGACCAGAGTCCTTGTTTGACACTCCCAGATGCGCGAAGTATGTACCCAGGAGCTCTGCAGCTTTCAGCTTGACCCACAAGTGCGGGTAGGTTACGCTGGCCTGCACCGCCGTCCAGAGGCTGTCTTTGTTCGATGCGAACATGGTGTCCGTGTACTTCTTACAGATTTTGGAGAGCAGAGTGAGAGAGTAGTATAGCAACTCCCAGTCGTCTTCGTCACGGCGTTTTAAGCACTCGTCGATCGTTGAGTCCAGTCGGTCAAGAACGTATGTAAGTTCTTTCGGCTCTTCATCCTCCTCCATCGCCTCGAAGTAGAAACCGAAACATTGAATACCAAGACGCTTCAGGCCAACGTTTTCGTCCTGTTCCAACCAGCTCTTGAGATCACCCGCGAAACTCTGCAGTCGCTTGTCGCTGGCATGTTGGAATAGCCTCTTGATAAGTAAGCTGGCCATCTCACGGCATTTGCTTGAGTCATCGTTGGCCACAGTGTTGATCAGCGGCAGGAACATGATACCATGATACTCGTCCTGTGCCTTCTCTGGGAAGCGGGGCAGCGCCTTTCCGATTATGAGGTCGAGTGCTTCCATGACTGACTGCCTGCCTTCTACATGCTCGTATCGGAGGTTCTTGAGGAGAAATTCGATCTGCTTCTTGAAGCGCTTCTCGCTCTGCGTGTACGAAGTCAGGAATTGGAAGAAGTGTGAACGGGCAATGTCGCGTGCGGATTTCGTCTGGTTGGTGATCATCATTTCGGCCACCCTGTCCATGGCTTCATACATCTCAGGAACATCGATATGTCGATTCATGACAGCCTTGAGGAAACCAAAGCTGACACCCGAGCGATCTGGCTCGTCCAAGTCGGGCATCATGCGCTTGAGTAGGTGTCCGATATCTCGTTCCTTGATTTGTACATTCGGTCGCTCACGTAGAACAGCTGATACCAGCTTCAATGAAGCCTGCGCAAGTTCCGTGTTGGACGAGAGTGCGCCCTTGATGGCGCGCATCGCTTCGTCGATGTACACGGGGCAGTTCGTATCGAGCTCCGTCATAGGTACTTTGATTATGGTTGTGAGAAGTCGGACAGCCGAAACTTGCACTTCTTCTTGTCCTTGTACCATTGCGTCGCCGATAATCGGAAGGAAGCCTGCGAGGTTCTGGGGTGTCTGGAGGTCTTCGTGCTTGCGGAGCACAGTCCGGAGAATGTCCATACCGAAGCGTATCATTTTGTACAAGTACGAGTTTGTGCTGAGTCTCGCACCGGACTTCGCTGCGCCACGGTTGTTGATCAGGTACCGCTTGTTCTTGGGATCGATCTTAGCCTTCTTCTCGGTGGAAGTGTTCGCGGCGTAGACTTCCTGAATGAGCTCATAGCAAAACACCAATATATCTCTGTTGTTGACTGTTGGGTTCTGTAGAACACCGAGTCCAATGCGTCGTAGAAGCTCGTCAATCTTTTGGACCATTCTGGCGTTGAGCTTCTCGATCAGGAGAGACCTGATTGGGAGCACAAGCTTGATAATGTGCGCGGGTGTAGCTGATCGTGCTATGATGTCCATGGAATCGAATGACTTGCTGCTCTTGACCTCCTTCATTTTCGAGATGTACTCTTCTGCGTCCTTCTCTTGACCTGCAGCACCAAAGGTGTCATCCATGACCTATATCCAATGTCAGTTTGTTTTTTCCAGTGTGAATTGTTCCGTTGAGGTACTTACCACGTCAACTAGATCCGCTAAACAGTAATCGAGATCACCTGGGTTGGTTTGATCGGCAAGCTTGACTAGAATCGAGTGTAGAGTAAACGAAAGAACGTGGAGCTGGTAACCTCGCTGAAGCGCAGTTCGCAAAGCCTTCAAGATGAACCCAAGGTAGCCCGGACCCATTAATGTAGCGATGTCGCTGAGCGTGTTTCTCGACATATCACGTGCTTCTTGCGCACGACTCTTTAAAATATAGCAGATGTCTAGAAGAACTCCTGGCAAGCGTGTCTCAATTTCAAGTGGTGGGAGCACTAAAAGGATCTTCGCAATTGCGACTGCGATTGGCACTCGTAGACTGACAGTGGCTTCATCCTTCTTATGCAGGAAATTGGTGAGATCGGGCAAGAAATTGTTGATGAGATCGACGCTCAGCTTTTCCTGTTGTGGGAGGGTTTTGGCTAAGGTCGACAGAGGCTTGTCGACATCCATCGCGTCCGGATCCTCCTCATCCTCAGAAGCAACCTGGTCATCTTCTCCAGACGCGGCCTTCGCAATGTATCCCTTGGCGCGTGCTGCGTAATTCAATCCGTCCATCAAACCAGCGATTAGTCGGATGATCGGCTTTTGCAGATCTTCCTTGCTCGTCAAGTAGCCGATATAACGTTTGAGCAAAGAACGAAATTGCGGCCACTCGAGACCTTCAGTCAACGACGTGAGTGTTTTGATTGTCTCTCCTAGAAGACTATCCGCAGCCTCATCATCTCCTTTGTTGAAGACGAAATGCTCGAGAAGCGGGATGAGGACGTGGTAGATGTTTGTACCGCGCAGGTGAGACGCACTTGTGGCCAAGCGGCGCAGGGCTCTCAGTCGGCGATGGCCCTGGATGTGAAGAATGTTGCCAAAGAACGACGCCTCATCATCTTCCGAAAGGAGCACGTGCAGGTCCGCCACAGGAGCCCAGTCAGGGTGTGTCTTGACCAGATGCTCAAGGACAGCAAGGTATTCAATCCGCACAAGCTCTGAGTTTTCCCGCATACCGGCATGGATGCCAGGTAGAACGGCTGCTGAGATAAAAGCTCTGAACGGTTCGCTTGACGATACCTCGCTGAAGCGACGCAAAGATAAGGAAGCATTCACCCGAATGCTGAGCTCGTCGTTGTCTTTGATTAGATACAGCATGTTGTAGACTAGAGGTTTCCACTGTGCGAGCGTGTAGGACTGATAGCCTTGTTCATTGATGGCACTGAAAGCTTGGGAACGGCGTTCGAAATCCGGCTCGTCGATGCGTCCAGTAGCGAAAGAATTAAGATCATGGCACAATTTCGAAATTACCACGAGATCGCTGCTGGTGTCCGAAAGGTCCTGGAGAACATCGCAAAGCAAGGCCCGTGCTGTTCGATCTTGAACGAAACTGAACATGGGACAAATCGCATCGTAGATTGTGTCGAAAAGCTCAGTCAGACCTTGACTGTCACAACGCTGAATGAATTCATGAAGAATCTTGAGTAGACCCAGCTTGGTTCGCGGGTTTACGCGCTTTGAAGGCTGGCGAAGCAGGAAAGTTGCGATCTCGATCATGCTACGCGACTCCGTGGCACCGACCACATGAGGGGCTAGATCCGCGACTGTTTGTACGCCAGCTTCAAGCACTTCCTTGCTAGGACTTTGGCGAAGTAGTTGACCAACTCGGTGAAGTATCGCAGTTGAGTACGGCTGGATGATGTCCGTGTGGATACGGTTCCGTAGAAGCTTTGAGTCCGTCGTCGGCACTTCGTCTTCAACAGTGACAAGAGAAACAATGTTCCGGATGATGTCGTTCAGTACAAAGCACTTGACATCATCCTTGGCTGAGGGTACCTCAAGGCAGTCGATGACCTTGTGTAGTATGGCAGGGTTGAACTCTACTAGAAATGGGGCCGTAGCGCTCGATTTCGACCATGCCGCCAACAATCGTAGAAGTCCAGAGACGGATTGAGCCGTCTCAATGGGCAAATGCTCGAGCCTAGGGTCGACCATCTCTTTGACGAGAGCACCCGTGTACGACTTCCATTCAAAGTCTGGGCAGTTCTCAAACAGCCTTCCTAGAATCTGCAACGCGCGCTGCCTTATAGTCTTCAGCAAGGACGTGTTCG